TGCATGTGTGTAGATAAAACTGGAGGTATTTATGCTAATACAACTCTTTCTATAGCCCCTCTTTTGCATGACAATTCCGAAATGCTTTATGAGATCCCGCAGTACCCTTCTAGGGCAGGCTTGTCTTAATCCCATTTTGCAGACTTTCAGGCTTATGCTTTCAGACACGCTGAAAGCACGCAGCCCATCCTTGCTGTTAGAGTCATAAAATCTGGCTGTTTTCTGAGCAGAACTCACCCTTCGTCCCTCAGTCCACAGAGCTGTGGCTCAGCTGAGGGCACCGGTCCCATAGGGGTGCTTCAGCCAGAGGCGGCACAGGGTGGTCCCACGAGCTAGGAGAGTTGAGCATTGGGGCAGCACCCGCAGCACAATGCTGGAAGCTGAAAAGTCTGCATCCCCCCACCCCAATCGTGCTCAAATCAGAGCCAAAGCCCTCTGCGGGACAAGGGATGGGTCCCAGGAGGGCACTGCTGCTGCTGTCGGTGCTATGGCAACACGTGCTGATGGAAAACCCAGGGGATGGTGCAACCAGGAGCTCAGAGCCCGATGTTTTCCAGAGGTTTGTAAGTAGTGGCACAAAGCAGTCTTGGTGCAAGGTGGTGACAATGAGGTGAGTTCCCACTCAGCGTCCTGGAGGGGTGACCAACCCCATTGGAGCACTGAGCCAGGAGCTTCACTCCCAGCAGTGGCCCCACCGACGCTGATGGCTCAGGAGTTGCAGCCCGAGCCAACCTGCTGCAATTTCAGATTCTCTTTTTCCTTTATTCCAAATGGAGCCACGATTCCTCTCTCGTGCTGGGACTGGGTTTCAGCGCCATCCATCACGCGGCATTTTCTCATTTATTTCCCATCTACCTATTTTGTCATTTAGGACAAAGCGTTGTTGTGTTAACACGGCTCTCATTTGTCACATTGGAGCCGCTGGTGCAACTCCAATCCTCTCGGCAAATTGATCGTGGCGAAATTTATGCTTTGCAGATGGGCCGAGCCCTAATAGGAACATCAGTTTGCGGCGGCGTTAGTGGCGGAACTGACGGTTTTATCTGAACTCTGTTTCAGTGCACACCGCAGGCGCCAAGAAAATATTGTACGAAACAGTAAAATAGAAACGGCAGCCGTGCTACGGAAATATGTTCAGCCTCGAACTCCAAATTAAAACAAAACCGGGTTTCTGTCAGCCAAAAAAAAAAAAAAATAGAAGAGATTTTGTCAACAGAGTTGTCTTGGCAACACTGGAACCGATCACCTCGCAGCCTGCCCGGTGTGGGGCACCAGGTGGGGCAGGGTGCAGGTGAATCATGGTGCTCTGATGGGTCGTGGTGGCGTTTTGGTGGTACTGAGGTGACGGGGACACGGAGCGCACGGGATGCACAGACTGGACCAGGCTTCCTTTGGTTGTTTAATTTGCTACGGAGAGATGGTTTGGGTGGACACCAAAGGCAGTGGTTGTGTAGGTGTGCAGGTCAAAGGGATTTGGGGCTGCCCAAAGGCGGGGGGCTTCAGCTCAGATTTGTGGTGATGAGCAAGTGTGTAAAAATTTGCCTTCCCTAAAGCAAAGCCCTGCGGCTGGGTGCTGCCATGGGGTTGTCGTGTGAGCGGCAAAACAATTCCATGATTCAATTCACACCTGGTGTAAATTGGGTTTGTCAGGAAGGTGCAGCAAATGCAGTGCAGTGCCCCAGGTCCCAGCAGTAGGGATGGGATGGAGGACAGGGGTCTGGGTCTTGGCTGCAGCTGCATGCGAACATCAGAAGGGCTGGAGGAAAGTGGAAGGAAGGGCACACAGGTACGGCGTGGTCTGAGCACGCAGAAGGGCTGGCATGAGCGAGCTGCCTGCCAGTGAATCACTTTAATGCTCCATTTTCAGATGCACAAACATGCCGGTTTACAGTAACTGTGCATATGTTGCATCCCATTGCTCCTCATCAGAGTCGCTGACGCTCCACGGGTTGTAAAAATTAAACGGGCATAAATCCATCAGCCCTGGGGTTCTGCGTTGAGCGGCATAAATCCCACGAAAACTAATTAAATAAGACAATGGTGTCCATTTAAAGCTGGCACGTAGAAATGTGAGCCATTACCGCAGTGATGATTTACGAGAGATGAGACTTGAAATCACATTGTGAGGGCAGGGGTGTGCAGGGTGCCCACGCCAGAGGCTCTGGGTCCGTGCCGGCTCTGCCCAGCCCGCAGGTTGTGGCTGTGATGAGCAATGGATTGTGCTCAGGGAAGGAGATTTATTTCCCCTCCGCTTTGCTTTTTAAATCAAATCACCAATTAAGGCATGTGCTGGAGTTTGTTGCTTGGAATGTTATCTGGTGGTTCGGAATGCTTTTCTCTGTTGGCTTGCATAAGACTTTTGAGGCCCTGGAGCGTGTCCAGCGAAGGGACCCCAGCTGTGCAGGGTCTGGAGCACACGTCTTATGGGGAGCAGATGAGGGAGCTGGGATGGCTCAGTCTGGAGAAGAGGAGGCTCAGAGGAGACCTTATTGCTCTCTGCAACTCCTGAAAGGAGGCTGTGGTGGGGTAGAGTGGGGTACACTCCCAGATAGCAGCAATAGAATGAGAGAGAATGTTCTTAAGCTGTGCCAGCGGAGGCTCAGATTGGGTATTAGCAACAGTTTTTTCTCCAAAAACGTGGTGATGCAGTGGCTCAGGCTGCCTAAGGAGCAGGAGGGTCCGCCATCCCTGCAGGTGTTTAAGGAACGTGGAGACGTGTCACTGAGAGACACTGTCAGTGAGTACGGCGGGGTTGGGCTGGAGTTGAACTTGGGGATCCGAGGGGTCTTTTCCTACCTTAATGATTCCATGATTTGTTCCTTATGCAACTGCCCTTGAAGCTGCACTATGCCCCTACACCTGCCATAGGAGTACGTGTGCTGCACCTATTCTTGCACTGGTTAATGCCCACAAAATGAGGCACAGCTGCACAGGTGGGTGTGGAGACTGGAGGGAGTTAATGCTTCGGTGATACTGCAATGAGATTCTGAAAGCTTGCAGCTCTGCAGCGCTTGCTGCCTTCTGGGAATTCAACTTGGCTTCCTCTGGTTTATGCTTCAGAAGTTGAGGGAAACTGAGGCAGAGTCAGACAGCCCAGCAGGGGATGTGTAATGCACTGGGGGCACACAGCACCAGCCCCCCTCCAGGCTGAAATACGTTTCCGTGCAAGTAGAGCTCAGTGACAACACTCACTGCGCTGATCTGAAGGACTGAGACGGCAGCTCTGAACACCCGACCTGACACACCTGCTGCTGCTGCCGGCTGCATAAATCAGGCTGCTAATGGTGCTTGGAGGCAGCGCCGAGCCCAGCAACCCACACCGCCAGCACAGCATCTCCCTGAGACATCGCATGGAGTCGGTGCTCTGAGGCTCATCTAAATCACGCCCCGTGGTAGAAAGGCAGCACTGAGCACAGAGGGCAGCGTGTTCTGGGGCTGTGGGGATTTGTCCTTGCAGTGAATGCGGCGCTGGGCTCGTTGTGAGTATATTGCATGGGCTCTATATGCACTGTTGCAGCAGTGACTAATGCAAAGCAAGCACTGGGTCTGACCCCACGGCAGGGAGGCTGGTGGCCCTGCATTGAGTGCTGCTCATACAGCTCTCAGAGCCATTTGTTCCTACATCGTGTTGGAAATGAATCCTGCACGGCTCAGACTTGCCTGGGATTTGGGGTCCTGATGACCTCCTCAGAGCTGGAGATGTGGGGCTGGGGATGCGGAGATGGGATGGAGAAGGAAGGAGTTGGTCCTTTGGGCACAGCTGGTGATGCTGAAGGTGCAAACATCCCCACTGTGGTGCCTCTGGGGGTTGAGGAGGATTCTGCCACATCAGTGCATTCAGTTTGCAGACCTAGTGCCCTCCGTTTCCTCCCCAAAATTCAGGTTTAGCAAGAAACACCATTTGCATCTCAGCTGGCTGCGAAACGCCACAGCACAGCTCCCGAGAGAAACATCTCCAGGGCACCTCAGAAATGCCAGAGGAACACAGAGTGGGTTTGGGAGCTGCCGTTAGCAGTGTGAGCACAAAGCCCCATTGGCAATCAATGACCCGTGGGCGCTGTGCAGTCATGCACAGAGCCCCCAGGAGTTGGGGTTGGCTTGCTACCAGTGCAGACAGCTTGTGGGGAGCTGTTGGGCTCGGGGGAGCCCCGCTTTGTACTTCAGTGCTAGAGTACGGGAAGAGGAGGAGCTAAGCTGTGATCCCATCAGGCAGGCTTAAAAACGCCTGTCAGTGCAAAGAGCTCAGCGAGAGCCCGGGTGAGAGGAGCTGACTGTACTTTCCTACCACCTCGCTTTGCTACTGGCTGCTGCCTTACCTCCTGGTGCATTGGAACGGGCTCAGTGGGAAGGTACCGATGGGCCAGATTGTGCCCTGGGCAGGGATATGGATCCCACTCCCCCGACACATCTCATGTATCGGGTTGGAGACGCTCAGCAAAACATAGGCGGATCTCCAGCAGAACCCTGTGGAGCTCCACACTGCTCTGCTTTGCACAGCGTGTTCAGGAATTTCTGCTCCTGGATAAGAGAGGGCAGGGCGTGAGCTGGGCTGTCCTGCAGCCCTTCCAGCTCCCTGCTCCACCTTTCCATCCCCTCCTGAGCAGACAGTGAGGATTGCTCTGCAGGAGAGTGAGGACTGTGAGAGGCTGTAGCCCGGTGGCTGATATCTGCAGGGCTGGGCTGCTCCATGTGGGTGTCTGTGGCACTTTCTATCTACCCCATGTCACTTCTTCCTCTCTCTTTGTTGTCTTCTCCCCTAGATAAAGCAGCTGTTGGCCCACCCGCAGCCTGAGTAGCTCACGGGATGCTCTGTGGGACCTGGCACTGAACTGCTGCCTGATGCTTGCTGAGCGATGCCCCTGCTGCCCCTCACCCTGCTGACACCTGCTGCAAGGATGCTGCAGACAGAGCCCCGAGGTGTGCTGCAGTGAGACGAGGTGCTCAAAGCCCCATCGTGCCCCGGTTCTCAGCATCCAGCTCCCAGCCTGCAGGTGGCTGCCATGGAGGAGAACGCCTTCAGCGTGCAGCAGCTGCAGCCCAACGTCATCTCGGTGAGGCTGTTCAAGCGCAAGGTGGGGGGCCTGGGCTTCCTGGTGAAGGAGCGCGTCAGCAAGCCGCCCGTCATCGTCTCCGACCTGATCCGGGGAGGAGCTGCTGAGCAGAGTGGCCTCGTGCAGGCTGGGGACATCATTTTAGCTGTCAATGGGCGGCCCTTGGTGGACACCAGCTACGAGAGCGCGCTGGAGATCCTGAGGAGCATCGCCTCCGAGACCTACGTGGTGCTCATCCTGCGCGGCCCCGAGGGCTTCACCACTCACCTGGAGACCACCTTTGCAGGCGACGGGACGCCCAAAACCATCCGTGTCACCCGGCCCCTCTGCCCTGCACCCAGAGCCGTTGAATTGTCCAACCCCAACCTCCACGGCCAGGAACTGCCTGCAGCCATGGGTTCTCTCTGGACCAGGGAGACGGGGCGGGATGTGGAGCCCGTGGTCCATGTCAACGGGTTGGTCACCGGCCCCAAAGGGCAGGATGGCAACAAGGGGAAGGACAGCGCCTGCAGCCACCTCTGTCTCAATGGCGGAGTGGAAGACAACGAGCTTCTCAAGGAGATTGAGCCTGTCCTGGACCTCCTGAAGAGCAGCAGTAAGGACGGCGGTGGAGATGTGCCCTGCAAGGTAGAGACAAGGGATATAGAAGTCCAGGTGGACTGGTAGGTCCTGCATGCATTTTTTACCTTGGGTGCGATGCGCTGGTGTTCGGTGGTGGAGGTGCTGGTAGATGGCTCCCAAAATCATCATACAACGCAGCGGGATGGGAATGGGATGCAGGGAAAGAGGGGAAGCTATTGTGAGGGATAGATGAAAAGGATGGAAAATTTGGAGCAGGTGGCAGAAGAAAGGGAGATGCGGGAGCTGGGGAGGCTTAGGAAATAAATAGCATGTTGTGCTGATTTGATGGGTGATGTAAAGACCCAAGTCCCCAGGCACATCAGAGTGCTCCAAGAGCATTTCTTTGCTGGGACAGCTGCGGTGTTGCAGCAGAGCCCCGTGGGCATGGAGCAGCCCCATCCCCATGTCCCCTTGTCCCCAGCCCAGCAGCCGTATCTCCACCAAGGAAATTCTGCTCTGGTTGAGGGAAATGAAAAATATGTTTGTTTTTTTTTTCTTTGAGGAATCTCTTCTACTCTCGAAGAGATTAAACTGAAGCACTCTAAATTCACTGAAATTGAAGGACCTCAAACCAACAAAAATATTAACAAAGTGGGTACTTCAAAGCTCAACTCCTTCACTTCCCAATACCCTTTAAAAATCTATATAAGTGGCTTGGAGTTGAAAATCCACTTTTCAATCGAAATTAGCCTTCCGCCTTCTGACTGATGAGGAGCTGCAGCCCCGCTCCTGCGGCAGGACGGGAGAAGCTGGGGGGGGGGGAATGTGCTTGGGGGATTTGTTGGGAGCTGTGCTGCAGGGAAAGGGCAGCCTGCACCCACCGCTGCAGATGGGTCCCCTCCTCTGCTCGGTCTCAGAGCTTGGCATTGGGAAGGGCTTCTGCAGGGAGAGTTTTCTTGGTTTGGAGATGTGCAGAAAGGTCAGGGACTGATGGAGAGCGGAAAGATGTGTTGGTCGATGCCAAAGAAATGCCCCAAACTAAGCAAGCCTTGATGGATTGATGGTACTGCAGGCAGGGGTTTCTCCAGGCTGGGGGGAATGCGCGAAGCTGACATTAATCAAAACAGCAATAGGGCTCTGACTAATTATCAGGAGGGTGCAAACCCTCGCCCAAGGTTGACCTCCAGACCTGCAGCCCGGACCCCTTGGCCATCAATCCAGGTGCCGGGCCCCACCTCGCTCCATCTCCATCTTTGCCTGGTGCTGACCTTCACTGCCTGCAGCGATTGTCAGAGCCGCTCGGGCTGCTGAGCTCTGACAGCTCTCCCAGGGCACGGAGGGGCAGCATGGGGCTGAGGTTATCCATGAGCAGCAGAATGTTCCCTGCTCAAAGTGGGCTTTGCTGAAAGCGATGCGAATTACACCTGATGCTGTGGGATCTCAGCATTGCTTCTCGTAAGAAAGATAGGAAGTTTGCATAGCAAAAAAAAAAAATCATTTCATCCCCAACCCCTGCAGCCAGGGTCTGTGCTCCTGCAGTGACCCATCCTCAGCTCCTTGCCTGTTTTGAGGCGCCCCACGGACATGGTGCACGTTCATGGGATGAGCCAAGGCTGAACGTCCGCTCCACGGCTGGAGCTGTCTGCTGTGAAGTCGGTCATAAATCAGCGTGGAAGTGGGGAGCAAGGTATGATGAGAGCTGGCATTTCTGCCACGAGGCTCACCGTGGGCTAGAAAATAAAAATAGAGTTTGATTCACTCCCTGCCAGCGAACCTAGGTCTGCTTTCCCTCTGAGCTCTGGGGAGATTGTCATGTCCCATCTTTCCTCCCTCTCCACCCCGCCGAGTTGCCGTGATTTATTCTTCTGCTCAGGTCAGCTCCCTAACACAAGTGGCACGATGGAAATGGCAGTGTGGGGGCCTGGGAGGGAGCAGAGTGCTGGGAGCAGGGATTCTGTTTACGAAGGGTTTCAGGCTCCATCCTGCATTGGAATAAACCCCGTAATTTTGCAGTTCTATACGAGAAAATTCTCTTCCTCCCACCTCCCTCGCTGCCGCCAAAATCTCTTTGTGTTGCTCAAAACATTTCATTTGCATTTCTGATGTCTTCATTATTCTGCACTTGGACACAAAACTTTAAAACCTCTGAAATGAAAGGTTCCCTGGGACTATCATGTGACTGCATTCTGTGACATGGTGAAGCTCAAAGCCTTGGCAGTGAGCAGCCCTCCCCTTCCTCCCCTTGCTCCTGTGCAAACCCTTCCTCTTCACCACGCCGACTGCACTGGGCTCTCCCAGGGGGGCTATTGGTACCTTGCATGTGACTGCAGATCAGGCACTGAGGCTGAGCTCCTCTGGATGCCCTTTGAACATGGCTGGAAGGGAACAAGGACAGCTGTGGATCATGCCTGACATTGGCTTGAGTGATGCTGGGATCAACTGGGGTATTGCAGTCTCTTCCCAGGTCTTTATTTGCCAGCACCCATTCAACCCTGTTTAGCACCCTCCTATGGCATAGCACGGCCTCTCTGAAGCTCTGCTCCACTCATCTCAGTTCCTGCACTGGTTGCCTTGACCCTGAGAACTGCTCTTGTAACGAGTGGGGCTGTGGTGCTTTCCCATGTGGTGACCGTCCCACATGGGCCCCAAACTCTCGGCACCTCAGCTGGGATGGAGCCATGTCTCAGTAGCATCCCAGCCCCCAGCGTGCGGCCATCCCCGCCACCTCACCCAAATTGGCCCCTGGGGATGGCAGCAGCCGGTTGTGCCTCTCATCTTTGCCTGGGAAATCAGAGCTTGCTGCCAAGCAAATTCAAAGGAGCCGAGTGACAAACTTCTTTTTTTTTTTTTTTTTTTGCTCATATATTTATATTTTTTTTTCCCTTCCTTTTTGGAAAAGCTTTGGAGATGTTTCTCAAAGGGCTGCTCTCAGCAACTTCCTTTCTGCTTCATCACTCCGAGCACTGCAACATCATCAAATTAGTCAAAAGAAAACAGTGGTGCCTCTCATTTTCCCAAACAGCCAGATGCTCCTTCCGAGGTGAGACAGCATCTGCACGGCTGGGGGAGGACAGGATTCCTCTGCCTTTTTTTAAGCAGTCGTTTTACTTTCAGAACCACAGAAAAAAACCTGAGGTCCCTTCCCAAAATCCTGCTCCAATCCAAGTGTGCAGGTTTTGAGCGCGTTGGAAGCGCTGCCTGGAGGCTGGCACGGGTCTCCAGGCCAGGAGCATCCTGCGTGGGCAGCTCACCCCGGGGATGGGGCCAAGGGAGGAAAACAGCGGGTCTGAGAGACCCTGCTGCTGCCTGCACACAGGCAAGGAACGGGCAGGAAATATTTGTAAAATGAAGCTATTGATTTTTGTTTTATTTTCTTCCCCCCATCTGGGTTAGGACTGGAGCAAGGCTCTGAATGGGCTTTTCTCTCCTCGTTTCTGTCTCTGAAAGAGCCGGATACTTGTGGGCAAACCAACGAGGTCTGCTCTTGCTCAGCCAGGGCACAGCTGCTGTGCTGTGGGGACAGCCCCCTCCCGGAGCCAGCTCCAGCTTCAGCTGGTGATTTCGCTGTGTCTCCTGCAATAGGTCCCACCTTGTTGTGAGTGCAAGCCAAAACAGCAATGTGCATCCTGGTGCTGTCCCAGGTGCAAATGTGCAACAGGGCATGGAGCTCTGAGTGTCCAACCCCAATGCCTGCATGGATCGTGCTGTGAGATGGTGCCTCTCATATTTTTTCTTCATCAAATCCACCCTGCTTCTGTCTACTCTCCCTTCCCAGGAGCAGTGGCACAGCTGCCTTGGGGGTGGTGGGGTCACCATCCCTGGAGGTGTTCAGTGTGGAGATGCAGCACTGAGGGACGTGGTCAGTGGGCACAGTGGGGTTGGGTTGGACCTGGGGATCTTAGACATCTTTTCCCACCTGAATGATTCCTTGATTCTAATGCACAGAGTGGCTGACTATGACGATGACTTAATTTGAGCATCTGGCCATTCTCTGTGCCATTGGCACAGGTACTGGCCTGTGCCTGGAGGAGGAGGACATGGAGGCTCATCGGCTACAAAGGGTGGTTTGTGCATGCTCATCGTTTGTTATGCTCACAGGCTATGCATCCATCAACCTTCATGCTCTCTGATGTCTTGGGGCTCAGGGTAAGGTGCAGGAATGTGCAGCTGTGGAAATGGGTATCTGTAGAATCACATAATCATAGAATTGTTTGAGTTGGAAGGGACCTTTAAGTGCCATCTAGTCCACCCCCCTGCAATGAACACAGACACTGACATCTGATCAGGTGCTCACTGCCCCATCTAGCCTGACCTTGGGTATCTGCAGGGATGAGGCATCCATCACCTCCATATATTCTCCAGGAGGTTTAACAGCCGGGATTGTCTTGTGGGAGAGCCAGATTTGATGGGAATTCATGATGCTGTCCTGTTGCTGGGAATTCCCTAGATAGAGGGCTGTGTCCAGTGACCCTGATGGGCTGGTAAAGCAGAGAGTGTGTGGTTTGTGCTGGTCCCCAGCAGCATCAAGAATGGCCAATGACCTGCTCTAGGTTGGTCTCTAGTCTGGAAGAGCAATGATGCTTATCCAGATGCGAAGCCTACAGCAAATTTCTGTTCTTCTCACCACCTTTTTTTGGTGTTGGGGGGCACAAATTTGGGTACAAACTGCCTCGATGACACCTGTACCCTTCTCATGCACAGCACTGGCCATGCTCGCCCTAAGGCAGCCAATGTCTGGAAGGCATCCAGGAGCCTAGTGTGATATCTTGGCAGCTGAATGTTATGCTGTAAATGCAGAAAAACTGCTGAAAAGTTAGGGTTCAGGGAGGTAGCCTGTAAGTGCAGTGTTTTGCTTAAGCTTCACCCACGCTGAGGGCGAGGGAGGTCATGAGACTGGATTTGTTTGTGCGTACGTGTCTCCTCGAGATGGTGTCAAGAGCACCGTGCTGGTGTGAATCATGTCCTGAGCACCACGTCCTGCTTCGGTCGGTGCCAGAGCCTGCTGTTGTTAATGGGAAGGCTCGTTATGGACTTTAGAGACATCTGGAAGCTTTTTAAGGACTGACAGTGGGAGCGCTACTACTGCCAGAGCTCACTGCAAGTCGGGTTGTTGAGGAAGGGCAAAGCAGCACCACGCTGCGCTGGACCCATCCGTGGCCACGTGCAGCACAAACTATGGAGCTGAGAAGCTCCTGCCCAAGTGTGGCATCACTGAGGCTGTCGGTGCTTCGTGGGCAATGCAGCCCGCGCACTCTGGGTCTCACATCTCCCAGACTCTGTTTGTTTTTCTCTTTTACATGGGTTCGTATGGTGGTGGTTTTCCATCCGCTGGTTGGATGGCATTTAGCAGCCTCACAAACGCCCTGCAGATGGTCCCCAGACAAAGCACGCAGGCAGACATGGTGCAGCGAGCTCCATCAGCCGTGTTGTGCAGACAGGGGCAGCAGTACCGGGGACGTCCCTGTCCCCAGACTTACAGATGTACAGATGTAGGCGGGCTGCCTATTTGCTTGCACAGATCCACCCAGGTACAGCCACTCGCACCCGCCAGCATTTGCAGCATCTGTAAAGGTCAGGAAGAGGAGAGAGCGCTGCCTCTCCCTCCTGGGAGCACCGACTTTTCCTTGGATTTTTTCTTTCCCTCCACTCATCAACACCAACCGCTGTCTGCAAACACATCTGATTTTGCTGCAAGGCTTTGTAGCTAGAAATGTGCACGACTCTCCTTCCCCAAACGCTTTGTTTGCTCTCTTGCTTATTTTTGGGAAGCTTCTCACATAACCCCATTGGGGCTGTATGGGCACGCTGCAGAGCACCAAGCAGGGTGCAGGTCTCCTGCAGTTGTGCTTTGGTTTACCTCGCAGAGGTGATTCATCTTCTTGGCCAAGACAGAGCCACTCCCTCAGCACAACTTGTGAGTTTTGGCTCCTATATGAAATTGTTCCATCAGAACCTGGAGCAATCACAGCCCAGACACTGCTGTCCATCCCCAGCCTGCTCACCCCACTGGTTTTAACCCTCCAGTTTCAGGGAAGGGGAGAACAAGTTGCAGACAGCCTTCCCAGCTCAGATGGAGAACGACCGTGTCTTTGGTGACCTGTGGGGGAAGAGCAATGCGCCTGTGGTCCTCAACAACCCCTACTCCGAGGCAGAGCAGGTAAGCACCCGCCTCTTGTGCTGCTTTGGGTGGGGAGGGGTGGTGGAGCAGGGACCCTTCTGGCGGGCTCTCACCCCATGCATGGCCTTCAGGGACTGTTTGGGTTGTCCTGAGGATCTTTGGTCCTGAGAGCTGACAGTGTACTGAGCCCATGTGGTCCAGCAGCCAAATTCCCCGTAGCTTGGGCAGGGGAAAGGTGCCCCTCATCCATAGAGCCACGGTGCAATGGGAGCATGGCCAGGACATGTCTCCCAAACCTCCTTTGGGACCGTTGTCCCTTTCATAGCTAAAATGTTGAGCCTCATTGTTAAGGTCATTCTGATTTATATGACAGCAATTCAACACAGCACTTCAGATAATGTGTTGTACCGCACCTTTTCATCTCCTGACGCTGCACGGACATAAATTCTCAGGCTCCCTTGCCAGAAATGGATTAACTCCCACTTGTAGCAAAGCCAGGGAGAGGCAGAATTACCCCAGGGACAACGTGATGTGCGTGAGCATGGCACAGCCTGCGTGGTCAAGTGAGTGTCCCGCTGGGATTAACCAGCCGTGGGTCAGGACATGGGGACCGATCCAGGGATTGTGTGTTCTTGCCTGCCCTCTCCCTGTCAGGATGACATTGTGTTCTCCAAGGGAGGGAAACAAAGTGATTTCATGGTCACATGAAGATTTCTGAGAAAATCAGCATTCCTTCAGCTCAGGAGCGCCCTCAGCAAATTCCTCTGGTGCCTCTTCCTACCTCCAACGAGCTGCCATGCAATGCTCATAGGATTATACCATAGAACCAGAAAACATCCTGAGCTGGAAGGGACCCACAAGGATTACTGAATCCAGCTCCTGGCCTCATCTGCAACAACCCAAACCCAACCCTGTGACTGAGAGTGGTGTCCCAGTGCTCCCTGAGCTCCGGCAGCTCAGGGCTGTGCCCACTGCCCTGGGGAGCTGTGCCATGCCCACCATGCAGAACCTCTCACTAACACTCAACCCACTCCCCATCGCCACCCTGTGTTCTGCCCCGGTGTCCCTCGGATGGATGGATGGATGGATGGATGGATGGATGGATGGATGGATGGATGTCCATGGGAGCCCTGGTGTCCCCTATGCTCAGTATGCAGGTCTCAGTTTCAGCTCCCAGGGACAGGTCACTGCTGTGCTCCCTTTCTGGAAACCACAACCACTCTGCCTCCTTCTCTAAGCTCCATGCGTGGATGTGTCTCTTACTATAAGCACTTTATAACCTTCTGTGTTCAGAGCTTAATTCCTCTCCATGTTCAGGCTGCCAAAATCCCCAGACTTAAGCTGCTGTTAAACTCTTTATTTTCCCTCCCGCTCAATGTGCAGTGCTCTTTTTGATCCCTCTCATCCCAGCACTGTTATGGAGGCAGGGCTGCTTCTTGCTGCCAGAAGGGGCAGTGGGAACGTTGCTGAACTTCTCACATCAAGCCAAACCCCAGCTATGCCTAAGAGCTTTAAGGCAGGATTTGTTGGAGCTGCTCAGCCAGGTGGGCAGTGTTCACTGATGCTTGTAATAAGGTGCTGAAAGGCAGCTGGGCATCCATCCCTTCTCCGGGTCTGAACTTTGGGTTTTCTTGCAAAACCACAACGTGTGCTGTGCTTGTTTCCCAAGAGCCCTAGGCCCTAGGGAGATGCACTGACTCCAGCAGGAGTGCTGTGCTGCAGCCATGCAGATTGAATTGCTGGAGCCCCAAGATGGCACAGGGGACGCACGCACAGGCTGCAAAGGAAGGGACCTGCACCAGCTCCGTGCCTGTGAGGATGATTTACAGCTCCATAACAACAAAGAGCACATTTTCAGCCAGTGGAGCTGATGCAGGCTAGGAGGAAATGCCCCAGCCCCACTCTCCCCAGGCAGCACCCAGTGTGTTCCTTCAGTTCTTAAGAGCTGCAGACAGCCTGTGAGCTGCACCCCCTGTCAGTGCCCAGGCTGCCCATGGAAGGTGCTGCATAATGTATGCTGCGACGCGTGCCTCACCGCCCCTCCTGAGTCACTGATATCACAGCTGCCTAATTAAAACATGACAGCATCACGCACAGCCTGGCTGGCAGAAGCTGGGGTAATATTTGGCTCCAGCAGTGCCGCGCAGGGAAGGCATGAAGTCCTTCCCCGGTCCTTCTGGGTGCTGCTCACTCTTCAGTGCTCTGTGCCATGGTTGGAGGTGTGGTACCCCCACTGCCTGGGGCTTCAGCACACCCTGGGACTGAGGCCCACTTTCAGCAAGGATGCAAACCTTGCAGGTATCTGCAGGGGAAAGACAACAACAAAAGGGAGCTGTTTTGAGAGAGATTTAAGACAGAATAGGATAAATTAGAGTAGAATTGGGAAGAGTGGAGTAGAGTGGAATGGAATAGAACAGAATAAAATAGAATAGAACAGAATATTTGTTAGGCAGCCAATATCCACCAGCTTGGACTGTGTGCTTTCTTGATCCAAGGTTGGGCTCAGTCTTACACCTGGGTTCATGGTGTGCTCTTGGGTACAACAGCATTGTTGTCATCCTTCTGCTTTCCCCCTGCTTTCCTCCTGGGTCTGCTCATCAGCAGAGCAGCTTGTTCTGAAATAAGAGATTCCTCCACTGTGTGCTGGCTGTTCTTATCCTGGTCCTTTGGGGACCAGGGCTGTAACATTGGATTTACTGCTGCTGCTCCATGAGCCATGATCATGGCAAGAGCCCAGAGCTATGCTTCACTACAGAACCACCAACAAGGAGTGAAAATCTGAAGGCAGAGCCACCTCTACACTTAAAACAAGCAAACCTTTCTGGATGGATTAGAAAAAGAAACAAACTACAGAGTTCACAGAAGAAGGTTACATCAGAATCCAGCCCACAGACCTGTTCTGCAGGGATGCAAGCTTTCAAGTGGCACTAAATCCAAGCAGGATTTGGCCCTGCTGTGGGCTCAGGTTTTCCCTTGAAACCTCCATCAGCAGTCATTGAAGCACACTGGAATTTGAGATGTGATTCCCAAAAGAAGTGTCTCTATTTCCCAGGACCGCTGTGGATCTCCCTGCCATGATACCCCAGCAGACACGGGCTGCTCTTCAAGTTTCCAAGTTCTTGGGGGAGCAGAGCTCGCATCACAAGTACTGCACATGAGACCTGAAAGCACACACAAACACAAGTGCTAGCAAGCAGAAAGTGCAGCCAAAGCTCACTGCTGGCTAAGCCCCTTCCTTACGTTGGCATGCAATTGAGGACGTGCCGTGTGAGTGCGCCCTGACGCAGAGCACTGAGGTGGGCTGGAGATCCAGAGCTGACACTGAAGTAATCCAACCATGCATAATTCAGCAGCCCTCCCACTTGCATAATGTATCCATCCTTATTTCTGCGTTCTTCCTGTGCTGATATCAAAGCAGATATCTCTCTGGCTTGCTCAGAGGCTGTTAGCTCTGTCTCAGAGGGCGCATATCTGTGAGGCTGAGCTTGGCACGTGCAGAACCTGAGCAGGTGATGCTCCTTAAGAAGATACATCTTGTACACTTCACAGAGGTATGTCCTCCACTGGGAAACTTGAACACAGTGTTCATCTCAGTCACTTCTGTTTTTTTGACTCTCCTCCTACAGGTCTGGCTGTCTGGTGAGCAGAGATGAATTCTCAATTGCACTGAGAGTTAGTTGCTCCATTGCAGATTCTCAAATGCTGCCAAATATTTGGATCATCCACCTTTTCTCACTGCACCATCACTGAGATTTAAGCGCAGGCATCCACTAACAAGAGACACTGCTTGTTGTCGTGGCTTTTCCTTGTATCCCACTGATGAACATTAACCTGTGCTTGTTCTTCTCCATTGCCCAGCCAGCACCATCGGGGCGGCAGTCCCCAACGAAGAGCGCAGCAAACGGCAGCCCCTCCAAATGCCCGCGGTTCGTCAAGATCAAGAACTGGGAGACGGGCTCCGTGCTCCACGACACTCTGCATCTCAAGACAGCCATGGTGAGTAGGGTACTTTTAGACACTGCCCAAAAGCTGTCTGAGCATAGATGAGTGGATCACAGTGCTCCTAAGATGGCTTTTTTTTTGCTTGGAGATACAGAGCTGGATGTAACCATGCTTGCCTCCTTTTGTCCTGCCAGACCACCGCATGCACTGAGCAGATCTGCATGGGCTCTGTGATGACCCCCAGCCAGCACGTCCGCAAATCAGAAGACACCAGGCCAAAAGAGGAGGTGCTCCTCCTGGCTAAGGACTTCATTGATCAGTACTACTCCTCCATTAAGAGGTAAGTGCTGGCCAGAGGAGGGGCTGCTCATGCTGACCTTTCACACTTGCAAGTCAGCACAAAGACCATGGTGCAGCTGTTTCTTCATGGAGTTGCATTCGTAGCACTTACTGTGTGCTTCCACACAGAGGACTGACCTCTTCCATTTGCATCTGGCCACCTTTTATCTGAAAGCACTCGTGTGCATATACGTGCTCCCAAGAGGAGAGCAGCAGGACTCTGCCCTCCAACCAGGCTGGTGAATGCCATCTCCTCCACTCCCTGCCCACACAGATCTGGCTCCAAGGCCCACATGGAGAGGCTGGAGGAGGTGACCAAGGAGATTGAAGCCACCGACACCTACCAGCTGCGGGACACAGAGCTGATCTATGGTGCAAAGCATGCCTGGAGGAATGCAGCCCGCTGTGTGGGCAGGATTCAGTGGTCCAAGCTGCAGGTGAGCACCACAGCAGCACAGCCTGCAAAGGATTTACTGGGGTTTTGGAGAGGCGACTGGAAGCTGGTGCTCCGGAGAAGTGCACCTATGGTACAGAGGTGCCGTGGCAGAGATATTTGGCTTCATGCCATTTAGACTACCTGGAAGCCAGAGTAGGATCTGAGTTAGTGATCTCCAGTGGAATCTGGTGCCAGGGAGCTGGTGGGCTGCTTTGAAACCCGAAGCATAGATCAGATGTTTTTGAGGCTCAGCAGCAGCTTAGCCTTCAGCTGTTTTTTTTTTAGCATTTCTGAACCTTGGGGATCCATTTCTGTACGATGTTGGCTTCAAGTCTAGTGATGAACCTCTGTTCTGTTTTCCTCACTCCCTCAGTGCCCCTCAGACCTCTCAATTTCAGCCTTGAGTCATGATCTACAAGAAAGAACAGAAACCAGATCTGCAAGAGGATGAGCTGGGCTGAGAGCACTGCACAGAGGAAGCTTTTGCCTGAGCAGGAGATGAATCTCCTCTCCAAAGCAGGAGCATCTGGATCAGATGTCCAGCTGTCATAAAGGGGGTGGGGGGTCACATAATTATGGAGCTCTAGCTGCCTAAGATATCAAAGTGGCCTCCAGGGTCTTCCCTGTACTGTTTCCTTCTGCCTGACTCTGCCCTAGGAGCTCAGCATGCATCCTGTACCACCACCACTATTGCTTGCACTCTTTCAGGTGTTTGATGCTCGAGACTGCACCACAGCCCATGGGATGTTCAATTATATCTGCAATCACATCAAATATGCCACCAACAAAGGGAACCTCAGGTGAGCCACCACTGGGTCACCATGGTTTCTGCGTTGGGATGCGTACCTGGAGAGCTACAGCTCCAGGGGAGCATGAGCGTGACCCGGTGTTGGGGAACTGATGATGCTCCCCATGCTGTACCGTGCAATCTCCTTGGTGCTCACGAGTGCTGCCTCTTCCTCACAGATCTGCAATCACCATCTTCCCACAGCGGACGGACAGCAAGCACGACTTTCGCATCTGGAACGCACAGCTCATCCGCTACGCCGGCTACAAGCAGCCCGACGGCACCATCCTGGGGGACCCTGCCAACGTGGAGCTGACAGAGGTACCAGTGCCATGGGGCACCAGATCCTCCACGTGGGGCACCAGGGGGCTGCTGGAGACACACAGCGGCTCTGGCCATCCCAGGAAGGTTCTGGGTCTGCAGTGTGCATTAAACCCCCTCTGGTGCTTGGTGTGTCCTCCTCTAGTATTTTTCCAGGAATAAAAACGTTCCCAGGTATGGGTGGTTGTGATAGGCAAACCCGTGGCATAGCTCACTTGGATGGACATCAGTGCTCAACCCTAAGGGTTGAATCCCTGCTCACTGCACCCAAAAGGCAGATGGCATGCAGGAATTTCTGACCCTCTTTGTTTTGGTCGTAGATCTGCATTCAGCAGGGGTGGAAGGCACCGTATGGCCGTTTCGATATTCTGCCTCTGCTTCTCCAAGCCAACGGCAACGACCCAGAGCTCTTTGAAATCCCCCCAGAGCTCGTGCTGGAAGTGCCCATCCGGCACCCCAAGTAAGTTAAAGGGGCTCAGCTTTTCTGGTTTCACCACTAACTATCTCCTGTGCTTGGCTTGCATCCTTGCATCTCCTTGCCGTGGCTTGGGTGCTTGACTACTCCCGCTTCCAGATCTTCCTTCCTCCCAGATGGAGGTGACCTGGAGACAGAAAGCAACTTGTGTTCTTGCCTCAGGGCTGGTTTCTCTTTGCTTGAAGTCACCCAGAACTCACTTCACTGTGTAACAGTCCTAATGTCTTCCATACGGTAGACACCTTCTCCAGGAAATGCATCCTTTAGCCCAGTGGTTGCTACCAAAGCCACCTCCTTGATTCCCCAGCCGAATGTTGCTGATTGCCTGACCCTGTCGCATCCTGGCAGGTTCGAGTGGTTCAAGGACCTGGGCCTGAAGTGGTACGGTCTGCCTGCAGTGTCCAACATGCTCCTTGAGATCGGTGGCTTGGAGTTCTCCGCCTGCCCCTTCAGCGGCTGGTACATGGGCACAGAGATCGGGGTCCGGGATTACTGCGACAACTCCCGCTACAACATCCTGGAGGTAATCCCCTCCTCCTACAGAACAGATGCTTCTGGGTGTGAGGTCACTGGGGCACGGGGACAGTGCGCCCGAGCATCCCTTGCAGACAGCAGTTGGGTTCTTCCTCTCTGGGTCCTTGTCCCCAAGCAGAGATCCTCGCTCCTTGGCTCACCTCCTGTCATGCTTTTTTTTGCAGCAAGTGGCCAAGAAAATGAACCTGGACATGAGGAAAACCTCCTCGCTGTGGAAGGATCAGGCCCTGGTGGAGATCAACATCGCTGTGTTGTACAGCTTCCAGGTGGGGGCACAGCAGTGTTTGACAGGCCTGGGCTGGCCTGCAGGGATGCAGGGGTGAGGTGGGACATTACGGAGAGTCCTGCACAAGGACAGCAGCAGTTGATAAAACTCATCTGAAACTATGCTGTGCCTTCCTCATTTTGAGCTGTTCCAGGAGCCTGCGGTGAAATTTAATAATCTCTCTGCCCTGGATGTTGGAAAGAGCACTACCAGCACCTGAGCTTTGCTTATGCAGAGGGAGGGCCCCGAAGGGCAACATTCATCCCTTCTGTCCTGCTGGTGAGGCAAAATTAGGTCCAGATTCCCCCACACTTGCACTTGAAGGTTGAGTAGCAAAACTGGTCCTTGGACACTCAACTGCAGAGAGTGGGAGCCCCTCCTGGAGCTGGGTCAGAGCTGTGCCAGCAGTTCTGAGAGCTCTCTGGGGTGCAGGGTGATGCTCCAGCCTATTTTTCCCATGTTGGTTCTTGCACAGTCTATATCAAATAAGAGGAGGAGCATCTGTCCCCTAGCATGGCTGCTTATAAGGGATGAGGGCAGGATTGCCTGGTGTCTGCGCTCATTGGGAAGAGCAGGGTTAGCAGTCACCCCCACTGTCCTGCAGAACCATGGCAGTGAGCCTTTCTGGATGGCTCCTGGATTCACCTTAGAAAAAAATGACTTCAGAAGCCAAAATGAACATCCTTCAGCTTTGAACTTCTGCTCAGTCATTGCTAGCGTTGATCACTGGTAGCATTTCCATCCACTGCATGGAACACCTGATGCACACCCCAAGCTCCGCTCCTTGGCCTGAGTCCTTTTGCTGGGAATGGCTTCATTTGGCTCCCACCCTTTGGGTAACATTAACCTGTGGTTGTCTGCTCTGCTTTTACTCCCCCATCAGAGTGACAAAGTGACCATTGTGGACCACCACTCGGCCACCGAGTCCTTCATCAAGCACATGGAGAACGAGTACCGCTGCCGTGGGGGCTGTCCTGCTGACTGGGTGTGGATCGTGCCACCCATGTCTGGCAGCATCACCCCAGTTTTCCACCAGGAGATGCTCAACTACCGCCTCACACCCTCCTTTGAATACCAGGTACCTTCTGTGTACCCAAAGGAATAACCAGGAGTAGGGTGGGAGCCAGGGCACGGAAACTGGGGGACGCAGGAAGGAGAGAGATCCCACCCAGTCCCCTCACCAAGTTGTCCGTGCAAGCAGCAAAGCCCATGAATGAGTTGAAATGACCTCCCGTTTGCCTGAGGTCTCAGCAGGCTGAGCAGCAGCTTGCAGTGCTGCTGCTGGAGTATTTAACACTTCAGACCATGGGAAAAAAGGGCCCTAAGCAAATGCTCCCTCATTAGCCAACCATCTCTGCTTTGCTGGCTTTCACACAATGTGACCTTTAGTCAAGAGCCCTCAAGGAACAATCAGAAAACAGGAGCAGGCTGTTCATTTCTGTAAGCAATCCACCAGGAACTCCGATGATTCCTGGCCCTGATTACAGACAGCCGCCTGCGAGGGCACTGAATTAGCTTCTGTGCTCTTGTTCCTTGCTTCAGCTGCCTCCCCTTCCCAGAGGGCCTCTTAGAAAAAGAAACCTGTGGGCTGGGAAGGGGAAGGACGTGTTCACATTGCTTCTCCCCTCCTGGCCCTGCCTGCTCTGTCCTTGTGGTTGGTTACTGCTTGTCCCAGAGGTGGGAGGGCACTTGGCCAGATGCTGTCAGGAGCCACCGAGGTTTTATTAAACTGTAATTTTCTGTGCCCTGATGTCTCTGGGGAGCTGTACAAGTGATAAAGCTGGTTAACAGGCCAGCTGGTCCTCCCATTTCCAACTGGAGGAACTCAGTGCTCAGTGCAGTGGGTACAGCACCTCTCCAAGCTCTGAGCACTGCCCACAGCTGCTGCTCTTTCTCCCTCCTAGCCCGACCCCTGGAACACCCACATCTGGAAGGGAGTCAATGGGACACCTACCAAGAAGAGGGCCATTGGCTTTAAGAAGTTGGCAAAGTAAGTACAGCAGGCAGTGAGTGCCTGGCGCCGGTTCTGCTTTGGGGTAGCAAGCTGAGGGGCTGGCAGTTCAGGTCCAGGCTGCTGAAGGGGGATGTTTGGAGAAGCAGGAGCCCTTCGAGAATCCATATAGACCTTCAGAAGGTGTGGCCAAGGGAATATTGGGTGTTCCATGCAGGCTCTTCCCAAGCTGGTTCACCCTGCAAGTACAGGCGTTCTTCAGTGCTCAGGAATGGCTTTAGCATGTCCTGGGAGTCTATTACCTGCTCCTCCTTTCTCAGCCTCTCTGGGCCATGCAGACACAAATGAGCTGCCATTTGTGTCTGTATTTCTCCCACTACTAATTACTCAAGGAGCACTTGTCTCCAGCACAAGTCCAAAACTCTGAATGTCCCCATTGCAAGGAGCAGCGCAAGAGGGCTTCCTATTCCTGAAGAGCCTTCCTGCAGGCAGCAACGGCTCAGGGCCAAGCTGAGATTTGCCCTCCACGGCTGGCTGACCCCCAGCAACGGGTCACACAAGTCCCTGTCCCCTGCCAAGGCTCCCAGCGGGGGTGTTGTGATGAAGCACCATTTGGACGCCTTGGCTGATCCTGGTCCAAATGCTACCCCGGGGGCCAGCAAGGCTGGTGCTGCCCCGGTGCCCGTGGCCAGGCTGCCAGGTGGCCTCATGTTGTTCTCCCCACCCCTCGCTTTGCCTTGCCTCCACTGTCGGTTTGCTCCCACTCTTCAGCTGTTGCCTCCCGGGAGCTGCTCTCCAAGGCGCATCCATAACCATGATCAGCAGCTGATGAATGCACTCCTGGGGCTGACACTGGTGCCTGGGCCTGGGCTGCAGCCCGGGGCTGCCGGGAGAGCAGGAGATTAATTGAGCCATTGAGTCAGGAGAAGCAAAGCTTTTATGCGTGTGTGTACCGCTGATAAATGATTTTATAAAAATGTAAGCGTGGCAGGTAATTTAAAAAAAAATCTTCTCCATTGTTCCCAATGCGGGGGAGAGGACAGGGTGAGAAAGAATTATCTTTGCAATTCACCATTAATACTGCCTGGATTGGAGCTAAGTGGTTGAACAAACAGCAGCCCCAGCCCCACCACCCAAACTCAGTGATTATGAGTGGCCCTACAATAACACACCGAGCTCAGTGCCCCAGTCTGCAGCCCCACAATTTTCCCATGGCGTTCTCCCTGCCCCTGTAATGCAGAAACTTGGAGCCAGTGTTCTTAGTGCTGCATCTCCCCACCAGGACTGGCAATGCCGTGACCTCTCCAGCCCCTCTGTCCTTCTGTCAGAGCTGAGCCCACAGGCAAAACCAGAGCAAATGTACCCAGTCACGATGCAGCCACAGAAGGCAGCTGGCGAGACACAGCTCTGCCAACACAGGGACAAGTGTGTGGCCTCAGAGGGCTGCTCCACTGAGGTCATGGCATTGCTGGAACACAAAGCAAAGGGACTGCAGACAGCTCTGACCATCTCCATGGCTGGGGGCTGTGTGGAGCTCGGGTGCTTCTGCTGGGCAAGGGCACATCCCCCAGCCAGGTGGGATTTAGAGACATGTGAAGATGCTCCTCCATATCTTAGGCGCTGCTTGCTCTCCAGCTGTTCCCTTTGAGGTTATCTTCCTACTGCTGCCCCTGAATCTTCTGCTTCTCCATCCCTCACAAAAAGCCCCTCCATCCTTCAGCTAGCATTGCCCATCCCAATGCTCCAGATCATTGCTCAAAGCCCCCCAAGATGAAGGCTCTTCCATAGCTCCCACTTGGCACAGAACAACAACAAAGTGTTGCTGTGTTTCTTAAGGCAGGTTGCTCGTTAGTAAGAAATAACGTGGTGTGAACAGCTTGGGCTAGAGGTGCCGACAAGGCAGCAAGCTCCCTCACCAGGATTTATTCTTGCTTCTCAGAGCTGTGAAGTTCTCAGCCAAGCTGATGGGACAAGCCATGGCCAAGAGGGTCAAAGCAACCATCCTGTATGCCACAGAGACGGGGAAGTCACAGGTCTACGCAAAAACCCTGTGTGAAATCTTCAAGCATGCGTTCGACGCCAAGGTGAGTGCCAGCCCCTGGCCCAGGGGGTGGTGGGTGCAATCACAGCGGCTTTGGAGCTCCTGCTAACAGCTCTGTTGCTCTCAGGTGATGTCCATGGACGAGTATGACATCGTGCACCTAGAGCATGAAACCATGGTCCTGGTGGTCACAAGCACCTTTGGCAATGGAGACCCACCTGAAAATGGAGAGGTAGTATAGTGCAAGTCTGGAAATCCAGGAGGACATGGGCAGGGTCCCATCCTGTGAGCTCATCCTGACCTCAGGCAGCCCTCAAAAGCTCTGGGTGCAGTGCAGTAGTAGTTCTGTGCCTATGTCCCCTCCAAAACTGTGCATTCCTCAGTGAGATGCAGCCTTGTTAAATTCATCCCATACAACTGATGCCACTGTAACTGCCGCCAGCCCATTTGCCAGGGTGCCATGACCTCATACATCCCATACAACAGCAGTACACCTGCTTGGAATGGCAGGCAGAGAGTGAGGATGCAGTCCATTGCTTTGTGGTTGCTGCTTTGTGTCCTGCACAGGGACTGAAAAAAGTTGATGGTCTTTTTCCTCTGTCTTCTCTGTAGAAATTTGGCTGTGCGCTCATGGAGATGAAGAATCCCAACTCCAACCTGGAGGAGAGAAAGTAAGATCACCTCAAAACCCTCTCTTCTCCCTCCATTTGCCTCCTCCTAGAACAGAGCGGGAAATCAGTCCAGGGCATTGGACGTGCCTGGAGAAATGGGAAGGAGCAGGGGAAGGTAGCAGGGAGGACAGAGCACAGGGTCATCGTGCTTGCAGGTTCCAGCTTGTGGTTGGGGTCTAGGAAATCTCTCTTTAGGGCTGGGTTGGTGCGGCATGGGGCTAGGTGAAGGCAGCAAGCCAAGCAGCTTCCAGGAGGATGACAGCTTCTGAGACCAGTGTTGGTTGTCCCAGTCAGCTCTAAACGAAATTTAAGGGACTGGCAGGAGGTTCTGAGAGCCGGAACAGCCTGTGGCTGGGTTATCTGACAGCAGAAGTGGTCAGAGCCCTGCAAACAGTGACCCATGAGGGCAGATTAAAAGGTGAGAGCTATTTCATCTGCAGGAGAGAGAAATGCAGCACGGTGGCAGATTTCACATACGGGAAAGGTGACTGCAGAGGAATAAATTACTCCTGATGCCCCCCCCAGAATGGGCCAAGAGGTCATGGCTCCGGATGGCAGGAGATGCTGATGTTAAGCACGAAAAAACCTTTTGCAATGAGGAAAGACAGACAAGGAGAGCATCCAGGGGCAGCGGCAGCCTGGTTCTATGGGAAGGGGTGGGGAAAGCAGCTCCTTGGGCTCCCAGCTCCATGCAGGGGATGCTGAGAGCTCCCAGCAGATATCAGGGCCCTCTGAGCCATGCCCATACCTGCACCCAGATGGGGAACTGGGGCTTCATGCCTGTCCAAACCATCACATAACCCTAGATGGGGACAAGACCCAGGGCAGAAAAGTGACTCCATCCATCCGGAGCAAAACAGGTGAGCACGAGGAGCAGGGCAGAAGAGGCCTGGGCAGAAAGCAGGCGGTGGTGGAGCACAGCTGGAGCGGCGCTTTGCGACCCAGCGCTATTTTCCTTGGGGTTGTCTCCTCCGCGTGGCGTGCCGGGCGCCGGAGGTCTGCTGTGACTCATCCCCACACTACTGTTTCGTTGTTCAGGCAGTATATTTAGAAACTCTTGTGTAGAGCAATTTCTGAAGATGGTTCAATTCAGAAATACTTCTGCTGTTGTCAGATTTTTTTTCTGCGCTCCCCTTCCCCCTCCTCTCTCACTCCCCTTTTTTCACTTCCTATGAATGGAAAAACCTTCAGAATACTTGCTCAGGCACGTGCCTGACCTTGTGCACAGGCAGGGAAGGGCAGGTAAAGCCAAGGCTTTGTCAGCTCAGCATGGCTGGTGGGAATGTGGTGGCCAGCACGTGGGTCAGCCCATGGGAGGTGACCAGAGGACCCCATGGAGCACAGAACCATAGAACTGTGGAATCAATAAGGTTGGAAAAGACCTCTAAGAGCACCAAGTCCAATGGTTCAGCTGGTCCATGTCCACAAACCATGTCCCTAAAAACTTGCAGGTGTAGCACTGAGGGACATGGCTTAAAGGGCATGATGGGGATGGGTCAGCTGTTGAACTTGGTGGTCTTAGAGGTCTTTTCCAACCTCGGCGATTCCACTATTCTGTGATTCTATGATCCTTGAGCACCTCCAGGGGTGGCGTCTCCACCACTTCCCTGGACAAAGAGTAGCTCTAGCTGAGGATATGCATTGTATGGGGTGCTCCGGCTCACTCTTAGCAGGGTAGGTATTTCTCTACTGCCTGCTCATGAAATATTGAGCATCAAGCTTCGGCCTGCTCTGCTTTTGTCCCCTCTGGAGCCCAGTCCTATTCAAGCAATGGGATTTGTCTCACCTGTCACCACTGCAACGCTCTCTGCCACTGCTCTTTACAGGAGCTACAAGGTCCGTTTCAACAGTGTCTCCTCCTACTCGGATGCACGGAAGTCCTCAAGTGATGGCCCTGACTCCAGGGACAACTTTGAAAGTACAGGACCCCTAGCTAATGTCAGGTAAACAGAATGGGGAAGGAAGGTGATGAGTCCTGCATGTCCCTGGAGCAGGGCGGGTAGATGCCATTGTCCCCACGCTGCGGCCACAGCCATGTCCTCTCTCTGCAGGTTCTCTGTGTTTGGGCTGGGTTCACGAGCATACCCCCACTTCTGTGCCTTTGCACGGGCAGTGGATACCTTGCTGGAGGAGCTGGGCGGGGAGCGGATCCTGCGCATGGGAGAGGGGGACGAGCTCTGTGGCCAGGAGGAGTCCTTCCGCACCTGGGCCAAGAAAGTCTTCAAGGTAACCTGCCTCCCCGGTGCTCCGGTGAGGTGAAGTGCACGGGGCCAGTACTTGCACAGCCGATGGTTAGAGCTGGATTGAAGCCTTCTCTCCTTCCCTACACTTGGAAGCCCAAGAGGGACACTGGCCACCATTATTGAGATTCTCCAAACTTAGACGTTTCGTGGAGAGGGCGCCCCAACTCATGCCGATCTCTTTAGCAGAGTCTGTTGTAATGGGACAAGGGGAAATGGTTCCAAACTAAAAAAGGGGAGATTTAGACTGGATATAAGGGAAATTTTTTTTACACTCAGGGTGGTGAGGCACTGGCACACGTTGCCCAGAGAGGTGGTGGACAGCCCATCCCTGCAGGCACCCAAGGTCAAGCTGGTCAGGGCTCTGAACATCCTGGTGGAGCTGTGGGTGTCCCTGTTCATTGCAGAGAAGTTGAACCAGATGGCCTTTAAGGGTCCCTTCCAACTCAAATGACTCTATGCTCATGGCCACTGGTACAGCCCTACACCTCTAGGGCCTTCATCCCCATGTGTCATCTGTGGTCGGGGTGGGTCAAGGGGCTCTTGGGGCTCAGTAGGGCACTGCAGGAGGCAGGGGGGCTGCTGAGAGCCTGGTGCGTGCTGTAGGCAGCGTGCGATGTCTTCTGCGTGGGAGATGATGTCAACATCGAGAAGGCCAACAACTCCCTCATCAGCAATGACCGGAGCTGGAAGAGGAGCAAGTTCCGTCTCACCTACGTGGCTGAGGCCCCGGAGCTCACACAAGGTGCAAAGATGGGGTGACCCAGGGGGTCTGGGGCAGGCAGAGGGGGAGATGTACTGGGAGCAGTGGGGGCAAAGGACCAAATCTTTTTACTCATTCCCTGCCTTCCTATGTTACATTCCCATTGTTTCAGTCTTGCTTTCTCCCCAACCTGTTGTGGTTTAGCCTGGCATAGTGATGCACAAAGTAATTGCTCACCACCTGCCAACCAATGCTCAGCCGGTCCCTGAGCAGTGGCTGCTCCCCTGGCCAACTCCCCTTCATTACAGTTTTTCATATGATGTCATATGGTACGGAATATGGAATTTGGCCAGTTTGGGTCAGCTGTCCCAGTTTTGTCCCATCCCAGCTTCTTCTTTGCCCCCCAGCCCCTCGCTGGCAGGGCAGTGTGAGAAGCTGAAACGTCCTTGGCTCTGTGCAGCCCTGCTCTGCAGCAGCTACAACATCAGTGTGTTATCAATGTTGCTTTCTCCTAAATCCAAAATATAGAATCATACCAGACACTACGAAGAAATTCAGCTCTGTCTCAGCTGAAACCAGGACACCCTCAAACACTCAACGATGAATTTGTGATGACCTCAGTCCCCTCTGGTTGTTCCTTGCCTGTTTTTGCAACAGGGATGTTGAGCTCTGAGCTTCTCTCCCTCCTCCTGACCCCTTTTTGTGAAGCACAGAGCTGGAAAGCTGGGAACCTTCCAAGCTGGCCTTGTCCAAATGCCGCTCATCCGAGCATTGTGGTGCAATGGCAGGGCCAGCCCACCGACACCTGGCCCCTCAGCATGGCTCCTGCAGCTGATGCTCTGCCGCACTGCCCTGGCGCTTCCCAATTCAGCCACCTTGCTGCTGGCACCGGTAGCCAGGTCCTGTCCCCACACCTTGTGCAGGTGGTGGCTGAGCCCTCCCTGGTCCTCCGCAGAAGGGACACGTGCTGCTTCCTCCCCAAGGCTCCGATTCTCTGCTGTGTCTTTTCATGGGCTCTTCTCCTCTGCAGGGCTGTACAGCATCCACAAAAAGCGTGTCTACGCAGCCCGGCTGATCACACGCCAAAACCTGCAGAGCCCTAAGTCCAGGTAGGAAACGTGAGCATCCCAGGATTGCTGGAACCAAATGTGCTCACAGGGCACCCAAGCACCTGTACATGTGGTGCTACATGCATCCCTGACCCCAGATGTCCCGTTGACACTACATTTGTGCAAATCATGGCCGTGTGAGCCTGAGAAAGGGTATGTCCTGCTTTCAGCCACCTTGTAGTCTCCTGCCTGAGAATGGAACAGACTGACCAGAGCTGTGGGTGCTCACAACCCTGGTGGTGCTCCAGGCCATGGATGGGGCCCTGGGCAGACTGAGCTGGTGGAAGCAATCATCCCAGGGCAGGGGTTGGGGTTGGGTGATCTTTAGTGTCCCATCCAACCCAGTCATTCTATGATTCTATGAAGGCAAGTTGCTATGGTGCCCAGCAACACATCTGTCAAGGATGTCACTCAGCAGCTCTTTGTTGTTCTCCCCCAAACACCATCCTGCTTTGTCTCCTTTCTCTGCAGTCGGTCGACCATTTTCCTGCGTCTCCACACTAATGGCCACCAGGAGCTGCAGTACCTGCCTGGGGACCACTTGGGTGTCTTTCCAGGGAACCACGAGGAGCTGGTCAATGCCCTGATTGACAGGCTTGAGGATGCTCCTCCGGCCAACCAGCTGGTGAAGGTGGAGCTCCTGGAGGAGAGGAGCACAGCTCTAGGTAAGCACATCCCTGGAGGTGGAGGTGGATTCCCCCCTACTCATCCCCCACGTTGGTCCCTGTAGCTCCTCGAGGAGGTGGGTAGCCTCGAGGAGGAATTTTGCCATTTCATTGCATTTATCTGGATTGGGAACACCTCCTTCCATCTTCTGCTGCCCAGAGCCATTCCTCCTTCTTTCTTTATGGGGCAAAGAAAGGGTTTGAAGGCTGAGCAGGGACCACAGAGAAGAGGTTTCCTTGTTCTCCAGACCAATTAAAGGTGCTAACATTCTTATAGAAGAAGCAGAGATATTCTGAGATATTCTGGGAACGAGCCCAGTGCCCTACTGCCATGCACAGTGTGAGAGGAGATGGAAAACAGCACGCACTCAGAGTGACCAAAGCTGAAGGTGCTGCACTATCAGATCCCGTATTTGTACTCACGGCACAGCATCTCACTTGTAGCACGAAGATATCTCTGACACTTCTTTCTGGCTCTTCATCACTCACTGTCTCAGAGCTGAGCAGGGGGGAACGAAAGCAAGGATTTATCTGGCTCTGCTGACCCGTGCAGCTCAGCTGACCCATGGTTGTGCTGGATTCCCTCCTGGCAGGCGTCATCAGTAACTGGACAGACGAGAACCGCATCCCACCATGCACCATCTTCCAGGCTTTTAAATACTATCTGGACATCACCACCCCTCCCACCCCGCTGCTGCTGCAGCAGTTTGCTTTGTTGGCCACCAGTGACAAGGAGAAGAAACGTCTGCAGGTCCTTAGCAAGGTAAAAACTCAAATCCCAGTTGCAGGGGCTCACAGGGGTTGTTTCACTTCTGGAGCAGACTTCCTTCATTTTTACACGTGGCAGTCCCAAAATTAATTAATGACACCCCAGGGTGCAGACCTTCCTCTTCAGCATCAGCCTGTTTAGTAGCCCAGTCCTTCAGCTCCAGACAAAATAAATTTCTGGGCACACAGAGGCCGATGCTGCAGCCCACCCTCCCTCTCAACCTGGCTGCAGGGCTTGCAGGAGTACGAGGAGTGGAAGTGGTCCAAGAACCCTACGGTGGTGGAAGTGCTGGAGGAATTCCCCTCGGTGCAGATGCCCTCCACACTGCTGCTCACACAGCTGCCCCTGCTGCAGCCCCGCTACTACTCCATCAGCTCCTCCCCAGAGATGTACCCTGGAGAGGTCCATCTCACCGTGGCCGTGGTCTCCTACCGCACTAGAGGTACCAGGGAACAGAGGAGGTGGGCTTGGAGGGGGTGGCAGGGGAAAAACATCAGCACATGGGCAAATCCATAAGGGCTTTGATTGAGAGATGTTATGTAGAAGCCTTTCTACCTGTTGCAGCAGTTAGATGCCTTCAGCCCTTGATACTGCTGTCACACAGCACAGAGCAGGGCTATCCACCTAAGGGCAGCCTGGAAGACTTGGCCCAGACCAACCAGTAACTCCATGTGGGACTATTCCATTGCCCATACCAAAGTCCATGCAGCAACTAACAGCCAGATTTTGGTACCAGTGGAAGCAATGATGTCTCTCAGCAGCCCTGTTTGTGGTGTGCGTGGGTAGAGCCCATTGATGCCACCACAGAACGTGGGAGAATATGCTGGCCATTTACTTTGGATTGCCAAGGACAAAACTGAGGGCTTCCAAGGTATCATGACAGTCCAGCTATCCAGGTCTGGGGGAGATTGGGATCCAAGTGCCAACCCCCTCCCAAAGTCATGGAGATGGATCAGAGATGCTGACAGACAGTAGGTGTGCGGGAGGAAACATAGCAGATCAGAGATACAGACGGGCAGTAGGGTGCAGGAGGAAATGTAGCAGGGAGAGTTTCAGAAAGGAAAGAGACTTCAGTACTGGCTGGTGTGCTAAGTGCAGCCCTTCCTCTCCTTCCTCCTAGATGGAGAAGGCCCCATCCATCACGGAGTCTGCTCCTCCTGGCTCAATAGGATCCAGAGTGACGAGGTTGTGCCCTGCTTTGTAAGAGGGTGAGTGGATGGGAGAAGGGGGTGAAGGATGGGGCAAGACCCTTGCAGAAGGAGCTCTTTCCCCCTGGTCCTTCTTTGCAAAGCACCAAGGAAGCAGAGAAAGCAGGGCTGGCTTTGTGAACAGATGGATCCCTCTTGCTCTGGTGGTGTTCTCTTCTGCACTAAAATGCCACTTTTAGAGATTTCAATCCCTGCTTCTCTGAACAATGTCTCAGCTAGCAGAGGCAAGGCAGGAAGCATCATGCCTGGCTTTAACTGATGTCTTCAACACATGCAGGGCTCCTGGGTTCCACCTGCCCCAGGACCCTCAGGTGCCCTGCATCCTCATTGGCCCTGGCACTGGCATTGCCCCATTCCGGAGCTTCTGGCAGCAGCGGCTCTTTGAAATCCAGCACAAAGGTGAGCTGACACTTCTTCCTCCTGCTCCTCACCCCAAGCAGCACTCATAATCCTGGGCTGGTTGGGGCCCTGAGCTGGCCCAGACCTCCTTAAAGGGGCTGCAGACTTGGAACGCAGCTCAAACTCCCTAACAATCTTCCTATAAAACTCAAAGTTTTTATGGTTCTATGTACTGTAGCGTTGGGCTGGTTTGTTGTTTTCTTAAGGGCATTTTGGCCCTGGTGGGCTCCTCGCATGGGCTGCTGGGGTGGCTGGCAGTGATGCAGTTTGCAGAAAGGGATGCTGGTGGTCTGCAGGCTGATGGCTTCCCCCCATCTCTCCCCAGGCCTGAAGCCCTGTCCTATGGTTCTGGTGTTTGGGTGCCGGCAGTCCAGGATCGATCACATCTACAAAGAGGAGACGCTGTTTGCCAAAACCCAAGGTGTCTTCAGAGAGCTGTACACAGCCTACTCCCGGGAACCGGACAAACCAAAGGTGCTGGTGGGTGCTGGGGCTGTGGGTGGGGATCCTCAGCACAACACCGCGTCCTCCCCATTGCAACCCCATGCCAAGGGCAGCAGGACGGTGTCAGCCAGCAAGGCGATCCAGAACCAGCAGAAAAAAGTGCCAAATGAAGCTTTGCTACTCACCCATCTACCTCTTTTAGGGGTGCAGCAAGGCATTGTTTGCTCTCCACAAGAGGCAATGGAGGCAGCTGGGCCTCCCAGAGCACGTGGGTGAAGGGGGCTGAGAAGCTGAAATTAACTCTGCTCCCCCCTCCTGCAGAAATACGTGCAGGACGTGTTACAGGAGCAGCTGGCCCAAACGGTGTACAAAGCACTGAAGGAGCAGGGAGGCCACATCTACGTCTGTGGGGATGTCACCATGGCTGGGGACGTCCTCAAGACCGTTCAGCGCATCGTGAGGCAGCAGGGCCAGCTGTCGGTGGAGGAGGCAGGCGCTTTCATCAGCAAGCTGCGGGTGAGTGGTGTCCATGCCCTGCACAAGATCCTGCTCCGGGCATTGCACCTGGTGCCTCTTCCTGCAAAGGGGAAGCAGTGAGGTGATGAGCAGCTCCTCCCCATGAGATCTTCAGGGCAACCTTCCTGAGCCCATTCACCACACTGGGTGCCCGCTGTCCCTCTGTCACCGCTGCAAGATAAAAGGACAGGCTGCGGGTCCCCTGCTTGTCTCTCCCACATCGGGGCTGCCCGATAGAGCATGACCTTGGGAAGGTTGTGTCTCTGCCCCTCTGCCCTCCCTGCCCCTTCAGCTCTTGTCACCGGCCCCACAACACTTGGTGCGTAGTGGGGACCTGCCCACAGCCCCGCAGCCTTCTGTGACATAGCAGCACCGACCATTTGTAAACCCTTCCCTTTCCCCCCTGTTCCTCTCCCATCCTCACTCTCAGGATGACAGCCGGTACCACGAGGATATTTTTGGAGTCACCCTGCGCACGTACGAAGTGACTAACCGCCTTAGATCTGAGTCTATTGCATTCATCGAGGAGAGCAAAAAAGATACGGATGAGTGAGTTGACATGTTTATTTTAACCCTTGCTCTGGTCCCCAAGTGTGTAGGCTGTGGGATGGGAAAGGAAGTTTAACTTCTGCACATCTCTAGCCCTAAAGAATGGCTGGAAAAAGACATTTCACTTCTGCATGTGTCGCAGAGACTGCTGCATGGCCATCTCTCTGTGATAGCAGAGAGAATGCAGGCAGCTGCTACCCATGTTGGGGGGTACCCATGTTGGAGCTCCGATTGGGAAAGATTTGGAGGCTTTTCTGTCTTTCCACTCTGGAGAAAACAAGCAAAAGAAGTCAAAATTGGTGCCGTGAGGTATCTGTGCTCTGTCACATCCTGCCATGCGCTCAGCTCTGTGCTGAGGGACTCTTCCCTTAGTGAGCAGGTTTATTTAGGATGAGGGATGTGCACGGATCTCACTCCTCATCCTGGCTTTTGTCCTGGCGTGCAGTTCTGGCTTCCCAACTTCTGTGGTACTTGGGAGGAACTCTGCCCCAATGCCCAGGGTCTGCACTGTGTAAGGAGAGCCGCCAGTTCCCACCTGTAGGGAGGGTTAACGAGTGCCCACCTCACCCAGCTGCCACAGCCCTGTGCATATCTGCAACAGTAAGCAGTCCTCTGGAGGGACCTATGGGAAGATCACTGCCTTTCCCTGGCCATACTGCAGATGCCCTGTGGGGAGGTACACAGGAGAGCACAGTACTCCTGTTTCCAAAGAGACCCCTGAGGATCCCACCCTGCCTTCCTGGAAGCAGAGGACAAAGCTCCGGAACGGCTTTGCTCTACATCAGCTCTACTCATCCCGCATTAGGGCCACATGACCCAGCAGGGTGCTCAGCTGCTTCCTCTGAGCCCTTTCTGCCCTTTCCCTTGCAGGGTTTTCTGCTCCTAACTGGACCCTTCGCCCCAAAGGATGCCCAACCAGTCCCGGCACCTGCTGCCCACTCCTGCCGAGGGCACTGGGTTTTGTATTTCACGGACACAGTGGCTCCTTTTCCGGGGAACTGCCCATGGAAAGCGCTCTGTCTCTTGTCCTGTTGTTGTGTCATGATGATGATGATGATGATGATTTTTATTGCCTTTTCTTCCTCTTTCTCTTGCTCTCTCTCTTGTCCTGTGGTGGTTTCTTTTCATTCCCTTTCCCTTCCCCTGATCTCCCCACTGAAGTACGATGGCTTTATAATTCGCAGTGGCTCTTAACAGAACTTCTCGTTTCTCCATCCTCTCATGAGGGCATTTTGCAGCTGCATGAAATTACCATTTTTGTGACCATTTGCGTTTTAGTGTTCTGGGGGCAAGCAGAGTGGCAGGGGCTGTGTGCTGGCTGGCTCTTGCTGCTTCATGGGATCCGGGGGCCGTTCCCTCAGCCCCAAGCTTGGGGCTTGGCTGAGTCCTGGCGTTTTCTTTGCTTTCTTTTGGGCTTGTTCAGGCCTGGGCACGAGCCCATGGCTGGGGGCAGTCAGTGTGCCATGTCCTTGTGCCTGTGAACTTTGCTCATCCCCACCCAGCCTGGGTGCAAATGCATCTGTATTGAGCCAGAAGGCAGGACATCTGCAGTTCACGTGTTGTAGTTTCTCCTAAATGCACTCTGCGCTGTTTCCCTCCTTCTCTGCTCCCCATTTCCCCTAAGTCTCCCCTTTTGCTCAGTCCCCACTTCCGCTGGCATGAAAGTCTTCCTGCTGAAGAGCAAGCACTGAACACACAGGATGTCTGTGCTAGGGAGAAACTTGTAGCAACGAGTGCTGCTTTGCCAGGCTGTCCTCCAAAAGGCTTTGCAGGAGATGTGCAATCTGCAGCTGTGATGCTGGGGGCAGAGATTCAGCTGCATCCTTGAGCTTTGCAATGTGAACGCTTGAACCCTCTCCCAGGTGAGACTGGAAAGCCACAAGGAGGGAAGAGAAGCAGCTCCAACCCCGGGTGCAGGAGCACCTCCATGTGGGAAAGCAGAACTTGGAGGGCTACAAAGGCTCCCACCACCTGGTCCCTGCTGAGGCTGTATTGACAGAGTTCCTGAAAGCACGGAGAGCACCAGTTCCACCTTAGTGCAGTGTTGTGAGCAGTTCTGGGACAGCAGATCCCAACCCCACTCATGGCTTCGGGAGCAGCGAGCGCCAGCATGGAGTGACCTGACTGCCAAATAAAGACACTGCTGGTGGCAAGCCTGTCCCCTCTTGCAGGCTGTGTGCCACCTGCCAGCAGCAAGAGCTGTCTCTGCAGGGACGACTCGTCGACCTGGAGGTGAGATGGGCTGCGAGGCTGCTGCGTGACTCTGGGCTCTGCCACGCTCACACCTCAGCCCAGCTGCAAAACTGCAGCCCCACAAACGAGCCGTTAGCAGTGTCACAGGAAGGTATTGGTCCCTTTAGCAGAGGAGAGCTGTCAGAGAGGTAAATCAAACACAACCTTGTGCGTCCTTCTTCTTCACCCCCCCCCTTCTCGCCCTCAGGAGGTTTTGTCCTCCTTCAGCGCAGGGTGAGGGGCTCTGGGTGGTTGCGGCCCTTGCTGGAGGCAGAGACACGAGGCTAGTGTTGGAGCTGATCTTGTCCTCCTGTCCCCACTGTGCTGCACTGTGAACTGTAGCTTGTACAGAACAAAGCACCCGCTCTAGAGACAGCAGAAGGCTTGTTCAGGAGCTGTAAAGTAGAGCTTTGCTTTCAGAGGGCTCGGATTTGCTGCCCTAAGACCAAGTGGGAACAAAAAGAGCTGCATGAGGCTTGTTGCTCCCTCAGCCCGTGGTGCAAGGCACGCTGGCCTCCCTGGCAGTGCAGCTACCATACGCTCAGCCTGCTGCCCTTTCCTGCTGCTTGGTCGGTCGTAGCTAGGACCATCTGCAGCCTCAACTCCCTGGGTGCTTGAAGCAGCTCCAGTTCAAGAGCCAGGTGGGCACCAGAGACCCAGTCTCAGTTTTGTTGGTCCCAGCAGCGCACTTTGCAGGGCATGAAACGCGAAGGAATGCTGCCACAGTGTGGCCAGAGCCGAGCTCGTTAAGATGGCAGTTACAAGGCTGGGTTCGTGGCGCTGCCTGAGGACTTGGGGATGTGGAGGTGAATGCTGGACAGGATGGGATGAAGTGCAGCCCCTGGTCCTCCTTTAGGGCCTGTGCCCCAATCCTAGGGCAGGTAGTGGGGTGAGAGAGCTGGGTCCCTTTTTTGCTGGGATGTCCTGCTGATGGGAACCAAACCCCTGGCTCTAGACTTGCGTACGTACAGCAAACCTGGCCCTAAACCCACGTCCCATCACTGCAGAAACAGAGCTAAAGAACAAATTCACATCACATCCCTGCCTTGATGCTGATTATGGCTCTCGACTCTGTGCTCTGCTCCTACTTTTAATAGAACTGGTGACACAATCTGAAAAGGAGGGTGTGCCCAAAGAAATGCCCTTGTCTTCGTCCTCTTTTCAGCTCAACCTGCGTTGTTAGCAATTAGTTTTTTCCAGTCCTGCCTTCTGCCTGTACTGCTTTAACATCTCCCATCTGGAAGTCCTATTGCTGTTGCAGTCTGTGACTGAGATGAATTGGCTTGCTCTTCCTGTGCCCCAAAGCCTGCCGTCTCCATCTTCTGCTCCAGCAGATACCAGTGAAAGCACTGGGAAGCACAAAGGAGGGAACAGGGCGCCTTGCCTTCAGTGGGACTTCCAAAGGGGCAGACAGCTTTGGCTGTCTGAAGCTCAATGGTTAGGTGAGTCCTTCATAATCTTCCAAAGAGAAATGCTGCTTGAAGGGCAGCCGGCCTGCCTGGCTCTGCCACAGAGGTCCACAGAGCTGCACATCCTGCAGGACTCCGAGCTGCCTCTCCGCTCCTTCTGCCCTCAGCAGGGCTTCTCACAAGCCAAACTACGGGGAACTTTGATTCATTGCATTTTGTTGAGTCAGTCTCAGATGTCTTCACTCCCCCTTTGTCCTTCTGACCTGGGAAGGCTTCGCGCTCCCCTTCGACTTCAATTTTCTCCCACAGCGCGGGGAGAAATGAACCTGTGGATCTGCTTTATCATTCATTCCACAGATGTGGCTCTTCCACCAGTTGTCTAGACTCTGCTCATCTCAGTGTGACGTGTCTGACACGTGGGTGCAGCCACAGTATCTCCATCATGTACAAACAGCAGGGAGTGCTGCACACCAGTGCCCTGAGCTGCCCAGGGTGTCACACCAGGATGGGCCATGCCTTTTGGGCCCTCGGGTCACAGATGTCACTGCTGGCTGCTTGCTGCCCTGCCCCATGCAGCTCCTGCAGCAAGGGGGCACAGGACCCAATGGGCTCCTGGCCCAACCCAGTGCCCCAGTCCCTGTCCTGGAGGATGCCCTCCACCACTGCCTGTTTTGCAGCAGTTCAGCTCTTTTGTGCTCCCCAGAGATTAAACACAAAGAGGATCTTTTCTAAATGGGAGATTGGATTTTCAAGATGCTACCAAGTGAGTTTTGGGTTGGTTTTGTTTTTTTTTTTGTTTTGTTTTTTTTGGTTGTTTTTTTTCTGCAGAGATTTTAATTTGTAAGTTTCTCAGATCTCCACAGAAAGTTATGTACCAACTTGAAAATTCATGGGAAATGGTTCTGTGTTTTCCCAACCTGCTGTGTCCATTAGCAGGGGAAAATAAGCTGTTCGTTCAGCACAAGGGTACCTGCTGCCTGTGTTGTTGATGACTTCAAAGGTTTCATCTCCCCAGAAGGACTGCTTAGGAGTTTGCTGTTCTTCTTTCTACTGCTATCTATGAGAGACAGCGGGAAAATAATGAGACTTCTCTCATCAGGATCAGACTTGCAAAGACAACACACTTCACAATCACCACTGCGTAGACCTAAGATCATTGTGCTGGAGGAATCAAGGCAGTTGCATCCGTATTGGCCAGGGAAACAGAGTTTCAGGCTGGGCAGCCATGCTCCCTGCCCCTGTCCTGTGCCTAAACTTCTCAGTGACAAGCAGGGGACTGCGTCCACACTCAGATGTGTCTGTGTATGTCTGGGAAAATTGCAGTTGTGTCCTGAGCAAACGTGATTTCTCCCGTGCAGAAAAGGAGATGTGAAGAGACAGCAGCCGCGTGAAGCTGTGTCCAATCTAAATGGGATTGCTCTGCTGGTTCTCTTGCTGTTACCATGCAATGCCTCTCACCTCAGGCTCCCTGCACCATCTCCCCCTGCAGATCCTTCCTGTGTCTCCCCCTGCAGATCCTTCCTGTGTCTCCCCCAGCCCTGTCTGCCTGTCCACAGCTGGGTGAGGGCAGGTCCTCGGGATGCCAACAGGCTTGTAGTGCCTTGTGCTAGGAAGAGGTGCTGAGGGTGCCCTCCTGTTCCTGCTCTCTTCAGAGCTGCTCCAAGCACGCAAAGGCTGGAGGCTGAGAGGAACAGATGACTTCATTTCACAAGTGAAAACCGTGGTGGGTAAATTGCTCACCGGATCACTGAGAGCAGGCTATAAGCTCTGCTGTGCTCTGCAGTTTTCTTTTGGTGGGGCTTCACAGTGGTACAAAGACAGGGCAGAATTGGAGTGTGGGTGCAAACTGGACACCATCTTCTGCACACTGCTGAGCGGTGAGCACCTACCACGGTTTGGAGGCCAACGTTCTCATTACGCTTTTTAGAGAAGGCTGTGTTTCTGATGAAGCCTTGTGGACGTGCACTAAGCCTGAGCCCAAGCTGCTGCCTCCTGACATACCACCGAAGCCATTACAGACCTTTGATTTATACCTATGGGGAAGCTGCGGAGAGTTCCCAGCATTTTTGGAAGGAAATTTTATGCTCAAAACTAAACTTTGTTCCTGCCTTCACTGGGGACCAGTTCTCAGTTTCAGAACTGCTCTGATAACTTCGCAATTGCTTTGATAGTTCCAGAGGGGAGTGCAGTCTCTTTACGGAACAGATGGAGACACACTTACAGGACCATTCAACTTTGCTGTAGCTCTGCCTTTGTTAGAACAATTTCCTTTGCTGTAACAGGAGGAGCAAAATCTGGACAGCATTGCAGGCTTGGAAAATTGAATTCACAAACTCAGGTCTTGCATCTGAGTCCTTCCAGGTACGACATGCCTTCCACAACCACTGGCTTCTGTGGCACTGGGGGTGTTCAGCAGCTTGCCGGATAAAGCTTTCACAGCAGCAGCAGCAGCTTCACAATGGCAGTATTCCTGTGCGTGTCAATCTGCACTTGCACCTGCCTGCAATGCATGACTCTAGTATTCCATTTGAAATCTACCCTCAGTGGGAAGATCTGAGCTCTAGCTTCTTCCATATGGTCGTGTGTATTTAATGGGAATTCAGGGGAGCTGGAGAAAGCTAATGAGATTGCTGCTTTAAAGCACTTGGTTGCAGAAGTAAAATAGATACTTCGGAGGTTGAAATTGGCTTGACATGAGCACGGCTGCAAGGGCAACTCGTGAAATATTTAAGCACTGTAATGCAGACTTACCTGCATCCTGCTGTGAGATGAAAAAAGCAGATCGGAAAGTCTTGGCTTCTACCCCTACAGATGTTTCCAGCGAAGGCTGTGATGGAAGTTTGAGCCATCAAAATCACTGGGAGAAAAAAAACAACGACCAAACAGGTTGTGAGTTCATAGCTGAGCAGCCGCAGCTTGTTTACCAGTGAGAGTGCCTCACTGTGAGTGCTGCTGTTTCCCTGCCTACTCATTCATGTGCCTACCTGGCTCGATTTCAGGGAGGAAGGAGGGAGGAAAGACATCAAAAGTGAGATGCGTGAGCCTTGCCTTCAGCACCCTCTATTTAATAGGTGCCTGCAGGCCAAGGCTTTGCAGTTGCTCTTCATTGCCATGGCAGGGCAAGATGCTGGGGGCTACTCTGGGACCCGCAGGCTGAGCTTGCAGTAATTCTGGGGCTGAGGAGAGCAGCACAGAGCTGGGCTGCAGGTACTCTGCACGGCCCGACTGCAGAGCTGGCACACAGTTCCATAGGGCTAGTGCAGAAATCTGCCAGTGAATAACACAGGACAAAGTGTTTTTCTTCGAGAGGCATTTTTAATACTTAAAAATACGGAAAAGGCTAAATACTGCAAAAGCCAATCAAAAAGACCAAGTGATCTACGAGTTCTTTTTTGTTGCTTCGGATGAAATTGAGTCTTTTGTCCCCACAGTAATCGCCAAATGGAGATTTTATAATTTTCCACAGGCAATAAAGCTGCCTTAATATGCATTCAGATCCAACAAGAGGCATTAGTGCTACCTGCTTTCAAACGTGGGTTTTGTCTTTCTGTTTGTATGAGCATGGTATGAAGCCATGTCTTAATAGAATATGTTTTGCAGTGCTCACCAGGATGTCTGGAAATAGAAGACGTTTCAGCATCTCCCCTTGCTCAGCATTGAAGTGATGGCTTTGACGCCAATGAAATTCAGTGCAAAATGTCTGCTTTGCTGGAATTCTACAAAATAGGTGTATATCCAGAATAGCTAAGGTTAAATGTGCCCTGCTGCCTTGAGATGCCTTCAAAAACCCTGGGATCCGTATGCTAAAAAGAGCTTGAGAATAGGTTCCCTTAGTCTGTAGCAACATCCTGAGTTCTTCTAGCTTGCACACAACTCCCCAGGCAGGAGACAAATGCAGTGAGATGACTTTCAGCCGGGACTCATTGCTTTTTAGATTGCACGTAGTTAGAAACATGAGTGCTGCCATCCACCCAGGGAATTTGATATTCAGTGCCAATTAATTTTTGTAATAGGAACAGGGATTTCTTCTCCTGATTCCCTCAAGCACCTCTGGAAAGTGTAAGTCTAAAAGACTGATTTGTTGTTGCTTTGTTTTTTAGTGTTTTTTTTTCTTTTTTCTTTTTTTTTTTTTTTTGTTTGTTTGTTTTGTTTGCTCTGGTGGCCTTTTTCCTAAAGAGCTGTGGTTCCAAATTGAGAAAGGAAACCACTCTGTGCAGGGCAGTAGCTTTGGGGCAGGCGACTCCCAGCATTTCCATTGCAGAGCTTTACTAAACGCTTCAGCTGTGGGTAAGTTCTGCTCTGCTGGATGGGACCCCAATTTCTCTCCCCTTCCTGGTCCTCCCGCTCCTCCCTGCCTCTCCTCAGCACCTCATGTCACCGTGCCTTCATTTGGTCAATAAAATGATGCCCCGATTTCAGACCGGTGCATTTTCATCTCACTTGGCATCCCATCAGACACTGGAGAGGGGTGGTTTATCTTGTAGCTTCTCGTGTGATTCTAAGGTAGGTTTCTCCCGAGGAGCAAAGGGGAGTGGGAGCAAGGGTGAAGCAGCGTTGTGTTTGATCATAGCAGTGCTTTAAGTGGTCAGAAACATGGTTTTCCCCTACCTCTGAGCTCTCAATGCTGCTAAAATCTCTGCCATTCGTACAATGTACTCCAGCCCCCTCTCTTGGACTGACTCTGGCTCTGTTTGCAAGATATCCACATTGTTCTAAAGCATGCACCTTTCTGTATAGTTCCAATCTTACGATTTTATGGAATACTTATGCCTGTTTGCATTACAGTCAAAATAATAAGAATAAAAAAAACCCTAAAATACAGCAGACCTCATTCTACTCTTGTCTGTGGGCTCTTCGCACTCAAAGGTCTCTCCTGATACATTGGCCTTGCTCTGTTTCACTACCTGTGCTGCTGTCGGTGATATCTACTAACCTGACAGAAACGAGGGCTGCATCACAGCACTGCATCACTCATCGCTACCCATCACCCACTGCCACAGCCATAGGGAACGTCACCTCAACACTGCCATGGCCATAGAGAACATCACCTCAGCATTGCCACAGCCATGGGGAGCATCACCTCAGCACTGCCATGGCAATGGGCAGTGTCACCTCAGCATTGCCACAGCCATGGCACAGTGTCACCTCGGGCACTGCCACAGCCATGTAGAGTATCATCTCAGCACAGCCATGGGGAACATCAACAGACCCCATAGGGAGCATCACCTGAGCACTGCCACAGCCATGGGCAGTGTCACTTCAGGCATTGCCACAGATGTGGTGGCATCACCTCAGCACAGCCATAGCCTTGGGCAGGGTCACCTCAACGTTGCCACAGCCATGGGGAGCATCACCTCAGGCTTTCCCACAGCCATGGGGAACATCACCTCAGGCACTGCTAGAGCCATGGCATAGCATCATCTCAGGCATTGCCACAGATGTGGTGACATCACTCAGCACAGGCATAGCCCTGGGTAGTGTCACCTCAGGCATTGCCTTGGCCATGTAGAGTATCATCTCAGCACAGCCATGGGGTGCATCACCTCAGACCCCATAGGGAGCATCACCTCAGCACAGCCATGGCCATGGGGAGCATCACCTTAGCACTGCCATTGATTTGCGGAATCAAACTCTCTAACCCACGTAAGGTTAGAAGAGCAGATACGTCTTTATTTCAGCGCTGCGCCACACGCCGGGTGCAAGGGGGATCACTCCTCCTAGCTTGCACATCAAAGAGTGGGGTCCATAAGCCAAGCCATGCATATTCAACAGTATTACCCAAGACCCATTAGCATATTACTTGCTTTTCCAGGAATCCATTTACATACTGTCCCCCTCCCCAGGGCATGTGCATTAGTTTCCATTGGATGAAGGCTTGATGTCTTCCTCCCCATTCGGTGGTCGTTCTGGGATGAAGTCAGACGTCTTCCTCGCCATGTCCTTTCGACCTCTGTTCCAGTTCTGAGCTCCTTTCCCGCCTTGCATGCCTCAGCAGTTTCCCATCCTGCTTATTTCCCCATCCATTGCTTTCTTAGGGGCCCCTTTCTACTGACTTGAGAAGGCTCCCAGAAGGTTAAACTAAGCAATAAATTGGTCTTGAGGTAGCAAGAGGTTAAACTAAATAACAAATGCTTCTAAGCAATAAGTTCCTCTAAGCTATAAATCCTCTAAGCAATGCTATTTGCGAATTCCCTTTGAGTTAACAAAACTAAGAGATGTTAAGGATCCCTTACATATTGTATTCTACAGCTCACCGTCTCACCATGGCCATGGGGAACATCGCCTCAGGCACTGCTAGAGCCATGGCACAGCATCATCTCAGGCATTGTCACAGATGTGGTGGCATCGCCTCAGCACTGCCACGGCCATAGGGAACATCACCTCAGCACAGCCATGGCCACGGCGAGCATCATCTCAGACCCCATAGGGAGCATCATCTCGGGCATTACCACAGATGTGGTGGCACCAACTCAGCACAGCCATGGCACGGCATTACCCCAGACACGCTCCCCCTGTGCCCTGCCCCGCCCCCAGCCGTCCCCCCGCATGGTCAGCAGGGATCGCTGCCCCAGCCCCGCGCTCCCCCCTGACTAGAAGCGGCCTGTTTTCTGTCCCTTATCGCTCTCCGTCGAAAGCCGGCGCTCGGCGGGCCGGAAGCGGGAGGCGCGCGTCGCTCCGTGACCCCTCCCCGCCGCAGGGGGGCGCTCAGGTAACCGGCCAAGATGGCGGCGGCCGAGGCGGAGCGGCCGTGCCTGACGGACCTGCCGGGAGAGCTGCTGGAGCTCATCCTGTGCTGCGACGTGCTGGGCGCCGCCGACATCGGGCGGGTGGCGTGCACCTGCCGCCGGCTGAGGGAAACCTGCCAGCCCCGCGGCAAGGTGTGGCGGGAGCGCTTCCGCCTCAGGTGGGCAGCGCGGGGCGGGGGGCGCCGGGCGGGCCGTGACGGCTGGACGGGCTGGGTGTGCGGCCTGCGGCCAGCGAGGGACAACCGGCGGGGGTCCGTGATGGAACTCCGGGCTGCTTTGCTGCTTCGGGGCTCGGTTCGCCCCGCAGGCCGCTGTGGGATGTTAAGTGTTTAATCTAGATGGTTCGTGTCAAGGGGCTGTGAGAGGAAAGCGGCGGCGGGGTGTGTGATAAGACAGGGGGAGTGGTGATAAGACGAGGGGAGTAGCTTCAGGCTGAAAGAGGGGAGTTTTAGGTTGAGCATAAAGCAGGAGTGCTTTACAATATGAGTGCTGGGGCTCTGTGAGGCTGCCTGCACAGGTGGGTGTCCTATTCCTGCTGATGGCCAGTCACCTGAGCAGCTGTGGGTGTCCCTGTTACAGTGCTGGAGGCCTTTAAAAGTCCCTTCGGACTCATTAGATCCGCTGTTCCCCCCCATTCCTGAAGCAGACCTGAACGTTTTTGTACAAAGGTTCAGATCCACCAGCTGGAATGGAGTGTGGAGGTGATCAGCACGTGCTGCTGCCCTTGGATAGCAGACTCATCATTGGATGGCTGTGAAGAGGAAAGTGACCTCGGGGTGTTGGTTGATGCTCAGCTGAAGAAGAGCCAGCAGTGTGCCCAGGTGGCCATGAGGGCAAGCACCACCCTGGCCTGCATTAGAAATAGTGTGGCCAGCAGGAGCAGGGAGGTGATCATCCCTCTGTGCTCAGCACTGGTGAGGCTGCACCTCGAGTGCTGTGTTCAGTTTTAGGCCCTTCAATACAGGAAAGGCACTGAGGCTCTGGAATGCCCAGAGAAGGGCAACGAAACTGGTGAGGGGTCTGGAGGTCTGGAGCACAAATGTTATGAGGAGTGGCTGAGGGAGCTGGGATTGTTCAGTGTGGAGAAAAGGAGGCTCAGGGGAGACCTCACTGCACTGTACAACTTCCTGAGGGCTGTGATGAGGAGGAGTTTGGCCTCTTCTCCCAGGCGACAAACAGGACTCAAGGAGATGGCTGCAAGTTGTACCAGAGGAGGTTTAGACACAAGGAAGACACAAGGACACAAGGAAGAACTTTTTCTCTCAGAGAGTGGTCAGGTGCTGGAATGGCTGCACAGGGAGGTGGTGGAGTCGCCGTTCCTGGCAGTGCTCAAGAAGCGCCTGGATGAGGAGCTATGAGATGTGGTTTAGTGCTTGTGGTAGTGATGGTGATGGGAGGACAGTTGGGCTAGATGACCTTGCAGGTCCTTTCCAACCTTATGATTCTATGACCTGCTGGCAGTTGTTGGCACATTAGCCTTGCTGTCCCAGCTGGCTTCCATCTCGCATGATTACATTTTATCTTCCTAAAACCGTTGATGTAATTTCAAACACCCAAATCCCTTCTTTTCCTTTTGTCATTGTTATTTCAGTGATAGATGACCAGCTAGGGATCCATCAGGAGAAAGGTTACGGCATAATGTGGGGCTGTTTGGTTAGTCTTTGACTTTGTGTAGCTGCAGTGCAGTGTGGTTTTATGATTAACTGGTAGTAACAGACCTGCTGTGTGTGGATGAACACATCAGTGCCTTCTGGTCCACTGCTAAAAGTTGTTTTACGGGAGTAGTGATGTAAAAAACAAACTGTACATAAACAGGTGGGAGCATTTGAGTCCTGAGTTAAGCTTCTGCAGTCTTCTTTTAGAGGGAAAAATGTAGGGTTGTTTTTATTGTGTGTTTGTTTTTAATGTGTGTGTATATGGACTGATTTCTTCTGTTAACGTTGAAGTGCAAAGTCATCCAGCTGGCATTATTTGACTTCAGAGCTCTCTGCTCCCCTCCAGTAGATGCTGCCACCAGCAAGGGTAATAGAAGGAGCTTGATTTTTGTACATCCTTTTAATTAGGTCCACAAGGGTAGGAGGGAGAATGGAGGACAGTGAGTTTTTGCTGTTAGGTGACAGGTTAGCTTTAATGTGATGCATTTTTAGAATGGCAAGCTTTCTTTTATTATAAAACTCAGCATCTATTTTGCTGATGTGATACTTGTATTTATATTGGAAAGCTCCAGAGGGAATTGCAGAAGTGTTTAGCACATTTAAATATCCAAATACCTGGGTTATGATCATTTTTAAGATTTCCTGTTAACATTTGCTGTTCGTAGGCTGCAGGAGAGCTTACTTTTAAAATGTCCATCAGTATTCAGTTGAAATCCTTTGTGTTTATGCTTTGATGCTTGAATCGATCACTGGATTAATTTGTACAATTACATTTAAGGCTGCATTATCTCTTGGCAGTATCTTAGCTCCTCAAGTCTTGTGATTACAATAAGCAGCTTTTTACAGTCCTGGGAGCTATCAGTGATGCTGAAACACCAACAGCCCATTTACTTCTGTCTTGCTGTACAGGTGGCCATCGCTACTGAAGTACTACAGCCACACAGACAGTGTCAGCTGGCTTGAAGAATACAAAGCACGGCACAATGCTGGCCTAGAAGCCCAGAGAATTGTAGCTTCCTTCTCCAAAAGGTTCTTCTCAGAGCATGTAAGTCACGTGGAATAGCCCAGCTCCTTGGGAGCACTTTCTGGCCCTCTGTCTTTCCTCTATCTCCTTTTCTTCTCTGCTGTTGGAAAATTCTGACTGCCTCACCTGAAGTAAGAATGCCAGGCCAGCAGCCAAAATGAGAGAGGTGGTCCAAAATCCAAAGGTGCAGATTGCAGGAGTCCAAAACACGCCCTGCAGGTTGTGTGCTCTGCAGTTGCTGAGTCTCACTGTGGCTTGAAAAGCTCTTTGCACATTGCTGCATGTTCAGAGCCCTGGGAACTCAGCGACTTCTGAAGGACTGATAGCTGCCCCCTGCGTGCCACAGCCTGTGTGTTTATCTCCCTGCAAGGATTTGTTCTCCTGGGAGTTGTCAGGAGTTATTTGAAAGCGGGTCAAATGCACATGAGGTTCAGTGAGTTGAAAGCATGTTGTTTGAGTTCCTGGCCTAACCGTGACACCAGGACGCCTTTCTGTCTTGTGTCAAAAGTAGAAATTTAGTCTCTCAGAGGGATTTATCTGCATGCAGACCAATGGTTGTTCCATTGTCTATTGGCTGCTTGGGTTTTGTCTAGCTGTACAATTTGGGTGAACCTGGAATTCTGTGATGTAGCCATAACTAAGGCTGATCTTAAAAGCTCCTGCTGGAGCCAGTCAGTGGCCACTCCTCACAAGCTGTTTTGTAAATGCTTTGTGTCCCAGTACAGAGTTCCCCCACAATAAAGGACACTCACATTGCAATCCTCTATCTGATTTTATGCAAACGCTGGCACTTGGGTTTTCACCCCGAGAGAAAGGCCGGGGTGCATGTAGGGTATCAGGAGGTGCATGTGTCCAAACTGTTTGTTTTGATCTGCTTCACTGTAGTTGCAGCAGCCTGACATTCTACAGTGGAGAAATGTGTGTCCGGGCATTACCTGAGTGCAGGGGCTCCTGGCTTCCTGCAGCTTCAGTCATGTATGCAAAAGCTGTTGGGGCTGTTATTCAGCAGTAACCAAACGTTTAAAAACTGGGGCTACCTTCTAGAGAGGGCTTCCTTCCTGACACAGAACTGCAGGGAGGAGACTTTCCACTAAGTTCTGCTAGATCCAGTGGAGTGCCCACTAAGATATGTGTAATAGGAATTGCATTTCCCTTTTTATTTTCCCAGGAAAAAGTTGATTCAAACTTAAAATTGCTTTTAGCTTGGGCCCAGTCTGCATAGGACTGCATCTGGTGTGCTTGGGCTGGTCCATACAGCTCTGCAGGAGCCCTGAATGCTGGAACAGTTAGCTCAGCTTGCTCTAGGGTGCTCCTTAATTTATCAGTGGATCTTCATAATGAATCAGTGGAGTGGAGGCCATGAGCAGCCAGCTCTCTGAGCTGAATATTCCCTAGGTCTTAAATGATGTTTAAAAAAATCAAACAAAATTGGTTTTGAAACGTTCTATGAAATAACATCCTTTGGGAAAGAATCTCCTGTGCTCTGCATAATTCAGCACCTCATTTTACAGGTTCCCTGTGATGGATTCAGTGACATTGAGACTCTTGGGTGCCCAAGTCACTTCTTTGAGGATGAGCTGATGTGTATCCTTAACATGGAAGGCAGGTAAGGAAGAGCAGGAGGGTTTAGGAGTGCAGGGCTTTTCTCCTTTCACTGGCTGAAGAACGGCGCCGTGGTGAAGGCCTGATGTCAGCTTCTGCCCTTCTGTAAACTGGCATCCCCAGACTTGCTGGGGCTGGGAGTTTTGCTTTGCAGTTAGTTTCAGAATGCATTTCATGTTCCCAGGAGGAAACCACATAAACCATTCCGCAAGGAGATCCTCTGGCTTTTGTTGCTTGCTGGCTTCTCTGCACATTCATACATTCCACAGACCTTCTTTTCTGCACTGGTTTTGTTCTGAGGAGTTCTCATCCCCACCTTCCTTTTTTTGTTACGTTTTTGTTTCAACTCGGGTCAGTTTGCTGCCCCGAATGGCAGGCTGGCCCCAGAGCACAGCAGGGAGCAGAGATGTGCAGTGTGCATTGCCACTGTGAAGCCCTGCATCAGAAAATCACAACTTTTTTGTGTTTTTAACCTTTTCTTGTTGCCTTTCTTAGCTGTAGTAACTACGTACAATTTTTAGCCCCGAATAAACAGCTGAGCTTAATTGAGCTGCTGCAGAATTTGCTGTTCTCTAAATTATTTAGACAGGTGAAATGAAACTTGTAGTTCATTTCTGCCTGGGTGTTCTCATTACGGTGATCAGCACTGAGCAAGATGAATAAGTTGCTGGTTTACTTGAAGGTTTTTCTGCTGGGAGCATACAAAGCATGCTGGTTTTGCTGTGATACAAAGCAGCAATAGATTTGCCTTAATGGGCTCTAATAGCCTTGATTAAAGGGGCTGTTAGTGGAGCTTGGAAAAAACAAAACCAGCACCACAATCATCTCATTTTTTTTTTTTGCTTTTTCACATCCATTTTATTACCTTCTCTATTTGAACTGGGACTAAACATCTCTCATCTGACAACTGGTTAAAAAGCTTTTGAGCTTTTGCACGGGCCAAATGCTTCTCTGTAAAGCAGAGTTGATGCTAATTACACCCTGATTAAGCTGTGGTTGTTGCCATTCAGGAGCATTAGGCTAAATCATTTCTCTGGAAGATAGCCCAGTAAAACAGTTGTCCCTTTTGAGCATCCCAATTTATTGGAAGAGGGTGAAATGTTGGGAGGTTTGATTGTCCTGTTCAGCCGGATGGCTGAGACTGATTTGACCTGCAATCTGAAGAGAGAAAACAGGTGGGGAAGGAGTTACTTTGCTAAAGGAGGAGGCTGGACTTGTTTTATAAACATGGCAGGGGTGCAGCCTGGGAGTCAGCTGAACCCTCCCTGGTTTCCTGGGGAGAAGGCAGGGCTGTGTGCCATTGCTGACTGGTGTAGAAGTGCTTGGAAGCCCTGGGTGGCACATCACTGAAGGCCAGCCGTTGCTTTGCTGTGTGTGGTTTGGATGCCTCCAAGTTGGCCTGTCTTGCTTCAGGTGACCTCTGCAAACCTTACCAGGATAACAGGCAGCTCTGTCTCTGCTTCTGGGTCACTCTGCCTTCACTTGCTAATTTCAAAAGTGATTTTACTATGAAAGCTGTAAGGTTTTGGGCACTGTGATCTCCAGGCCAGCTGCTGATCCCTTCCAGCCTTTTCCAACTACCAGGGATGTTTTCTGTGGCAATTACTTTTCTCAATACTACTGCACGTACCTTCCTGTTCCTCATCAGTGTTTCTTGTTGGTGAGAGGATATTTTAACGTTGCATTCTGGAAGGATTTAGAATCAGAGGATAATGTTTTATGCACTGTATCTTCTCAAAATGCCATCCCAGTGCCTGGGTGAAACTGGGAGATGATAATAGGGGCAATGTGTTGTAAGTTGTGTTTCTTCTACTGATGAATTTCTACCTCTTTGGAGGCTGGCATCATCAGTCTTGTTTAAAAGATGGGTGTGTAAAATTTAGATTTGCCCTCATTAGAAAAGTTAAATCAGATGCTGGTGCACAAAGCGCCTGTTCAGGGCAATACAACTTTTTGTATTTGAATGTGCAGGAAAGGTCTCACCTGGAAGTACTATGCAAAGAAAATTCTATACTTCCTACGGCAGCAAAACATATTAAAGAATCTGAAGGAGTATCTGCAGCGCCCTGCTGAGCAGCAGTCGTTCCTGGAGGGTAAGTCCTTGCCACCAGTCCCATGCAGAGCACTGAACAGCTTCCCATCGCTGTTGTTTTGCTGGGAGAGAGGCTTCTCTGCTTATATTTCACTTAGAGACAAATCAGAATTAAGATTGGGTTTTTGAGGTGTGGGTGGAAGTGTGGTGGCGCGGTGGGAAGCTCGTGCACACTGATGAGGAAAGGGAAGGAAAGGCTGCGCTGCAGCTCGAACCTTCCTTGGTTTGTTGGCTTATGCTCTGCCTTAAGCTTTCTGTGGAGAAAACCATCTTTGGAAGGAGGTGAAACGTGTCTCTGTCTGAAGAAGAGGCCCTTGCTCTTCATGTCACCTCAGAACATCACAGCAGAGTTGCTGTAGCACCAAACGTGGTTCTTGGTGGTGCTGGAACAGCTTGAGGGAGGGACTGTGCCAGGGCAAGAAGGAGAAGCCAAAGATGGCCTTTTTTGGAAGGTAGTTAACTGTGAGTTAATCATGAGAGCCATGAATACAAGTGCTTGTCTGCCATGCAGGTGCAGTTACAGTGCTGACAAATAGACTTCTGGGAAGCTTTACCTGGTCAGAATGGGAAGCACTACGGAGAGAAGATGTTAAGATTCTGCAGCTTGAATACAAGCCTGTTGTGGAGGTGCTAGTGAAGCACTATGAAGCTGAAGGAGGCGTGATCAGTACAAAATCCTTGCACTTAAATACGGTTGATTCCAAAAGTTGAGCAATTTGGAGCTTTGGGAAGAGTGTTCTTGATTGATAAGATGACCAGGAGAAGATTCTGCAAAGGGCTGTTCTTTTTTTTTGGCAGAAGTTTGACAGAAGAGTGTTGGGCAGCAGACAAATGAAAATCTCGTCAGTTGTAGTGGATTTCTGACATGAAGATGGAAAGCGGGCGTGGGAAGATGAATGTAGCAGAGAGGGATCAATGAGCAAGAATGATGACAAGTGAGGATGTGGCTGGAAGAAATCAGAACTGATGTAGAGTGAAGCTGGGGCTGTGTGGGGCTCAGAGTGAGGAGCATTATGAGCTGGGAGGGTGCCAGCGAGACAGGAGTTGGCTGGTTGAGCAAGGCTGGTCCATCAGCTACCTGCTCTGTGTGCAAATGAATGCTTTTCCTTTCAGGATGGCAGGTTGAGGTCTGCTGACTTTAATGGTGTTTATCACTGTCAGCTCTGTTCTTTGCCTTTTGTGATGAATCCCATATACAAACCTGAGCTTGAAGAAGAAAGCTGTTGTGTCCTGCTGCAATTGCTTGCTGTATGCCATAGGCCTGGAACTTTGAGTAGCTCAAACCAAGCCAAGAGAAAACTCAAGTTCTGTTTCTTATATAGTTTGTTTTTTCCAGGTGCTGTTTTGATTGACCAGTATTGCAATCCACTGTCAGACATCTGCTTAAAGGGCGTCCAGGCGCAGGTGGACGAGATCACAGACAAAGTGCGCAAAGCGCTCCGGGCCAAAAACCCAAGGCACCCCAGCGTGGCTTCCAAGGCAGGTACTGTACAGAAATGTTTGCCTGCAGAGCCTTTCCTCAGCTCTCTATAGGCAGGTGAGGTGAAACAGCTGTTGAACTATTGCAGCTTCAAGTGTTGCCATTCCTCACCTTGCTGAAGCGTTCTGACATTTGCTTCAACCTCTGTCGAGGCAACAGCTGTTTGTTCAACCCCAGAAACTCGGTTAGCCCAGGGTTGGCTGTCCTTGTGAGGCTGTTTAGGCAAAAAGGATTGGTTAATTAGAGGCAGGATTGCTTTTCCCCATGGAAGTCCCTGAAGTCTTGTGTAGTCGAGTCGCGTGCAGCTCAGCCATGGCACAGGGCGTCAGCCTTCTTTCTCTGCACGTCTGAGAAGGTCAGCAGCAATAAAAGAGGTTTGTGCCCACGGTCAGGCAGAATGCTCCTCCTTTCATAAGGAGTTTTATAAGCATTAGTCTAATCTGTCTTTCAAAGAGAGAATGAGGGGTCTGTCTCTCTGTATACCTCCAGTCTCTTGGCTACTTGAATCTGCATCTTGTGTTCCCAGTACATACAAGAATTTTGGTGTGAAGTTCAGTACGTAAAAGTGAAGTACATTTGTGTTCTTATTGCTCTGTGTGCTTTTAGGAGAGATCCTGATTCCAGAAGTGGAGCTTCAGCGGCAGGTACTTGATGCTATGAACTGTGTCCTATACGAGCAGTTAAAATACAAAGGAAATGAACTGGATTACTATAACTCCCTGAATTCATACATTCATCAGGTATGTCTTAGGTAAAAACTAGAGGACTGCAGGGCTGGATGGGCTCTCTGTGGTGTTTGATTTGTCCAAGTGTAACCAGACGAGCAATTCTCTGGAGTTATTTGCTGTAAGATGGATATGTCATGTTCTGGTGCTTATTCTGCCAAGTTGGTGTGAAATCAAGCCTTGGTGTTCGTTTTGTTTTTCTTCATACCCCTTGCATTTTTGTCCCTCAGGTTTTGATCCGCAGAACAGGAATTCCTATCAGTTTGTCTGTGCTGTATTTAACAATTGCCAGGCAGCTGGGAGTCAAACTTGAGCCAGTCAACTTCCCTAGTCACTTTCTGCTGCGATGGTGTCAAGGAAAAGAAGGGTAAGTAATCTGCTGGGCTTCAGAGTTTTATCCTCAGTTATAAATGCCAGGAGTTTGCAGTTACAGACCTACACCAGAATGCTCAGGTGTTTTCCATCCTAATTACAAGCTGTAAGGAAGTAAAGATGAGCTCTAAAGAAGCTTTCTCAGATCTCAGCTCTGCCCATACTGAATAGCAGCATTACTTGTGTGTGACACAACGGTAGCCACGAAGTAATGATTCTCTTAACAAGGTTACAGAAAGCTGAGAAGAAGGAAGAAGGTGCTGATTTCACATAACCCTTGATGCAGAACAGCTTCTAGAGGCCATTGCTGCTTAATTCTCGATTCTCTGGGTCATTGCAGCACACACCAACCAGGTCATGGTCAATTTTCAGAACTCTGTATTTTCTGCAGGACGTTGGCAGTCCAGCTCAGAGCAGTGGTTTTGTGTGCATACATACACCCCCCCTTTTGGCACTAGGCTTAGCTGCCACCTTGTGCTTTCTGCCACACGTTGCAGTGCAGCATCATGCCGTAGTCTGGCAGTCAGTACAGCAAATCTGAACATATCTGAAGGAAGCAGCTGATGCGACGGAGTGAAAATGACCTCCTAGTTTCTGTGTCTTTTCCCATGTATGTTTAGCTGAAGAGGAAACTAGGAAGAGAAGGCAGCAGGTAATCTCTCTTTAGGAGGGAGCTGGGGTGTAAATGCCACTCGGAGCTTTAATGAAAGTGCTGTCAGGAGAACAGAAAGAGGAAATCCTGCTTTACCGTGAGACCCATCTTAACGTCCTGGTGTCTTGCTAGAAGCACAGATATCTTTGACTACACCTACATTGATGCCTTTGGGAAGGGGAAGCAGCTGACGGTGAAGGAGTGCGAGTACCTCATAGGGCACCACGTGACAGAGGAGTTCTACGGGGTGGTGACTTCAAAGGAGGTCCTGCAGCGTATGGTGGGAAATCTCCTCAACCTGGGCAAGCGGTGAGTTGTCGTGGGGCCTGGGGGAGGGGGAGCCACGCTGTGCTGCCTGTGCTGTGCTTGTGTGTCCCTGTGCTGCTGTGAGAGCTTTACGTGGCATCGCTCGCAGCGGGCGGCCTTGAAAGCTCTGGGTCACATTGCAGCCCCTGGAGGCTTTTAATCATCCATAGCAGCGTGGCGTGGAAGCAGGAATATTCAGTGAGGCCGTTCTCACTGGAGGGAATGGAGAGATTTTGTTTTCTCCTGTGTGTAAAGCAGACGGGAGCTGTTCTCTGTAGAGCAGACCTTCGTTTTGACCACGTATGTGTCACCCAAGGGCTTCGTGAGCAGTTACAAAGGGACTGTCTGAGCATGCAGAAACCTGGTTTTATGTTCACGTGTCCTTGGTGATCGCTTCCCCAAACAGCATTGGGCAGAAATCGCAGAGGAGAGGGGTGTAATTTAGCAAGGGGAACAAAAGGAAGTTTCCAAAGGTAACGACTTGGAGAATGAATTCCCTGAGCGGGGTTATTTGGCCAAGCAGGTAAAAGGGGAGGGTAAAGGCCAACTTCCAGCTGTGTAGCTTTTCTTCTGAGCAGGCTGTTGGATGGATGTGTGCCAGCCCGGAGTCACTTGCTGAGTGAGCACACCGACCTGTAGTGTCATTTTTGGTGACTATCCCTGTAAACCAGAGCACGAGGGGTAGGAATTGAAGAGCTAGCCTTACAATTGAGTTTCTTTTTTGCTGGCAGAGAAAGCACTGATCAGTCTTATCAACTCTTGAGAGACTCGTTGGATCTGTACCTGGCCATGTATCCGGACAATGTGCAGCATCTAATGCTCCAGGCTAGGTTATACTTCCACCTGGGAATCTGGCCAGAAAAGGTACCTCGCCACTCGGTCGTGTGTTTTCTGGTAGGCTAAGCATAATTAACAGCAGTCCATTGATTTTTTTGGTTTTTTTTTTTTTAGACTACATCAGCTTGCATTACAGTCTGCTACAAGTTGTTTCTGTAATAAACACAACTGAACCAGTTATCACATTTCAGAGAATCAATTCCTGCTACGTGAAGCAGGGAAGGAGGATGATTCTTGTTTGCCCTGGGGGAGAATTGTATGCAGCCTCAGGTCTGAGTCGTAGATGATGATTAAATGCCAGAGTCTGATGGTTTGTCCTAGCACCAATACTTTGGACTTGGAGCTGTGAGTTACTGAAGAGTTGTGCTTGGTGTGCCTCCTTTGTGGTGGTGGTGCTGGAACTTTTGCAGGACTCGTATAAAAGGAGCAATTACTTTGTCAGGAAACGTGCAGGAAATTATCTTTTACAAACAACCAGCCCTGTTCTCTGAAACCTTACTTACACCATCAGTGACTTGTAAAGAAGCAACGTGGAGAGGATCCCAAGGACAGGAATTTTAATACCATCTTCAGCCCCGAGGGATCCTGTGGTTGGGAGACAGGTGGCACAGCAGTGTTCCTTCTGGTGCCTCACTGCAGCTAGGAGGACTTCCTTAAGCAAAACTGCCTGTGCTGCCTTAGTGAATATCACCTGCTTGGGCAGTGCCTGTGCTGTGTGTGAACGTCAGGTGTGAGGAGGAGGTAGAAGTATTGCTGGGCAGCTGAGCAGGAGGCACAGTTCTCACCTCCACATTAACTGAGCCATACGATTGCTGAAGAGAGAAGGCGCCTTCCTTTTGAGGAACACATTGTGCTAAGCTGGCTGTTCCTACCTTATGGCAACAAGTTTTAGGGTTCCCACAGGAAAAGCAGCCCTGACAGAGAAGCTGTGCACAGGGGGCTGCCTGAGCTGAGAAGGCAAGCACGCAGTGCAGGTAGATCATCTCCTTTCCAGCACTCAGCTGCGTGTCTGTGGTGTTTAAGGAGTTGCACCCTGCTGCCCTTAGGACAGACAGCAACCCCCAGATGCTGACTTTTACCTGCAACCTCCCTGCACCACGTTGCCAGATGGAATGACAGCATCCAGCTGTTGTTTTCCTGTGGTGTCCTCGTGGATCCCATCCTTCCAGGCTATCATACAGGACTGTAGTTAGCAGAGAACCCCGGAGCTCTGACAGAGCAGGACGTACCAGATTTCATAGAGGTCTGTCAGGTTTTGTAAGAAGTGATACCAAATCTTCCAAGTCAAGCAGAGCTGCCTGGAATGTTGTCTGAAATTTGCCCAGAGATGCTGTGGGTGCCCCATCTCTGGAGGCATTCACAGCCAGGCTGATGGGGCCCCGAGCAGCCTGGTGGTGCTGCTGGCAGCCCTGCCCACGGGGCTGCAGCTGGATGGTCTTTAAGGCCCCCTCCAACCTGAGCTGTTTTGTGAGAAACAAAAGTGTTGAGAATCTGTGGCAGCTGCAGTCACCACGCTGAGCCTTTCCCTGTCTGTGAGGTTTTTCCATTTGCACATCATTCTTCAGGCAGTGAGATGCCAGCCAGCAATTTCAGGTGGCTGAGAAGCCCCAGTGCTGTTTGTTCTCATACCTGAGGCCTCGTCTGTTTTCCTGAATAAACTTTTTCCCCCCCCACCATTCATGCTAAGTAGCCAGAGCTGGAAATGTTGGCCGACAAGCCTTGATCACTTTGCCAGGGGTGTCAGATTTTGGGGTTGATGTTGGGACTGACGTATCTGCCTTTTTCCAACCTATTTAGACAACGTTTTTAAGATCGAGATGCAGGAAGGCAGAGCACAGCTTGCATTGCCTGTCTCTAGCAAAGCTGGTGCAGCTGTTGTGCCCTGGTGCTGCGATAGCGTGCCAGTAGGCTGCTATGTTGGATTTACTTTGGGAACACTTGTAAAGTCAGTGCCCTTCAGTCATAGTGAGCCAAGCAGATTCTCTGTCTGCTGTTCACTGTTTCATGAGTACAGCATTGCACACATTGCTGCGTTTTCCTTCTGGGATGAGGAACTGTTTAAAATCTTTGTCCTCAACTATAGCAGAAGTGATCTGGAATGGCTTCAGAGTTAGGAGGCGAGCAGCAGAACCCTCTTAGCGTGTCAGGAGCTTTGCAGCACTGCCCCGTGATTGCAGGGCGTGCTGCTGCCTTTTGTGACTTAGTTTTAAGGAGTTACTCTGCTCAACAGCGCCCTGCCTTGGAAGTAAGCATCTGTACAAGCAGAGGATCGAGCTGTTTGCAGTGGCTGCGGGCTGAGTGTGAGGAGCTTGGGGCTGTGCAGGTAGAGCACAGGTCTGCAGTCCTGTGGAGAACGTAGTGAAGCACATGTGGGGCACTGAGAGCCAGCTAAATTGAGAGAGAGAGCGTGTGTGTGACTGCCCTAGAGACCTGCTCTGAACGCTTTCATGTTTTGCTTGCTGAAGGTTCTGGACATCCTGCAGCACATCCAGGCTCTGGACCCATCGCAGCACGGGGCTGTGGGGTACCTGGTGCAGCACACCCTGGAGCACATCGAGCGTCGGAAGGAGGAGGTGGGACCTGAGGTGAAGCACCGTTCGGATGAGAAGCACAAAGAGGTCTGCTTCTCAATTGGGCTGATTATGAAACACAAGAGGTGAGCTCTGCGGGGGATTCCCTGCGCTGTAAGCACGAGTGCAGAAGTGTTTGTGCTGCCAGTAATGAGACGTGATTCTGGCAGCCCAGGAGACACCTGGAGCCGAGGGTGCCTGGCACGTGTGCCTGCGCTGCGTGTCTTCTCAGGGAAGTGGGAGCAGATCTGTCCTGTCTGCTCCTTCAGAGAGCAGCACTGCTGCTCCTGTGTGCTGGGGGAGGTTTGTGAGGTGCTGTGTGAGTCATCGTGTGGCACAGATAGCATTTCCACAGTGCAGAGCTCTTGAAGAAACATCAGTAATCAGTTAATGAGGAACTGTGGAACAGAATCGATTTCCAAAGAGATGAGATTCCTAAGACAGCTTATGAATCTTGTGCTGGGCTGTTATTACCTCTCCTCCTGCACTGCACAGAGCCTTTGTGTTCCTGCCTGTACAGCTCTGCCAGAATGACAAGCTAGCTCTGTTTCTTCAGCCATTTCTCCATCTTAGCAAGACGTCTGGAGCTCATTTTAAGAGCGTCAGCAGTGCTGGTTGTGGTACCACAGTCATATAAATGCTCTGAAAATAGTGCTGGCTTTGTTTCTGGCAGTTCAGTATGAGGACTGCCACGTCTGTGTATGTGAACAGAGGGTGGTTGTTTCCCCTCCCTGTTCCCAGTTTCCTGCTCTCCTGCTTGTTGACATCCCAGTCTCTTTCCCATCCTCATTCTTACTTGAATCTGCCTTTCCTTTGTCCTCGGCTGTTTGTTGTTCCTGGTCACTTCCCCCCTCTCAAAACACCAAGTGCACACCAGTCTTTTGCGTTGATTTTGCTCTCTTTGCTCTCACCTGCTCACAGAAACCCTCCGTCCCATTTGTGCTGCATTGGCCTTGGTGAAAAGAGTTGGCTGTGAAGTTTTCTCAGTCTTTGCCATGAATTCTCTTTCATCAGGTATGGCTACAACTGTGTGATTTATGGCTGGGACCCTGCCTGCATGATGGGACACGAATGGATCCGGAATATGAATGTGCACAGCCTCCCCCACGGCCCCCACCAGCCCTTCTACAACGTGCTGGTGGAAGATGGCTCTTGCAGATACGCTGCTCAAGGTGAGCAGGAGCCTCCTGTGCTTGCTGTTCAGAGGTGCAGAGAGAGCAAGAAGGTGCTGAAGGGAACAACTCTCAAGCAGCAGGCAGGAAGCGTGAGTTATAATTGAAATAGGAAGGAAAATGATGTTGAATTGGTGGCAGGTTTCTTGCTGTCCGTGAAACCAGTGCTGCCAGGATTGAGTGTGAATCCACTTCCTTGAAATCTCCTACTGCCATAGAAGCAAGTCCGTGTTGGACACCATTGATTTTCAACTTCTTCCTGAAGTTTGAAATTCTGTAGGCAGCTCTCAGTGAGATCACAGCCATGCTTTGAGCAGGACCTGGAAATCCAGTGGGGGCACGTGGGGCTCATCAGGGCTGGGCTGTGAGCTGCTGTACGGGAGGCTGTGTGCCCAGATCTGGGGAGCGCAGGCAGCGTGGACCCAGTGCCACCCCTGGGAGGAATGGGACTGAAGTGAGCCTTCCTTCAGAAGGTGTAGGGGGAAAAAACCCCAAACAGCTCTGTCTTCATAGGTTTAAAGTGCAGGTGTTCCTCATATGCGTTGCAGCCCTTAGAATGGTTTGGCCTCGTTAAGAGTCTTTAAAATACAGATGTTGTGTACCACTGATTCATCTTAAAACGTGCTCCTCAGCCACAATTAACCTGGTAATCACCTGCAGTGCTTCTGGAGTTGAGTCATCTCTCAGGGTTGTTTTTTTTCCCTCTAATTGTTGATAAACAAGTATAATGAGCTCTGAGTACAGCAGATTCCCGAGCACAGCACTCTGCCTGAGCTGCAGGTTGGTGCTGTTGTCTGCAGACAGGGAGGCCGGGCTTTGTCCCTGCTGAGGCTGAGGTACAGCCGCGTTGCCCTCTGTGCGTGGTGAGAGCTGCCTGCTTGCTGTCCTGCAGAGAACCTGGAGCACAACTCGGAGCCTCGGGAGATTCCTCACCCCGACATCGGCCGCTATTTCTCAGAGTTCTCTGGCACTCACTACCTGGCCAACGCCGAGCTGGAGCTGCGCTACCCGGAGGACCTGGAGCTGACGTGCAGCACGGTGCAGAAGATCTACAGCAAGGAGTGAACGCCAGCAGCGACCCGAGGACGGAAGCAGACCGGAGTGCAGCTTTACCCTCTTTGCAAGACTTGCCCAGGGGGCGAGTTTGGTGACAATCCTTTGGCTTGATGCACTGAAAACTGCATTAAACCTCGTAAGCGGTGCTATAGAATCTTTCTGTTGCCTGCCTGCCCGTTCTGGCCCGCAGGGACGCTGTGGTGAGGAGCCCAGGCTGAGGGTCTCGCAGGGCTGGTGGTGCTGAGCAGCGTGCTGTCCTTTGGAAGATCTGCCCGTGAGCTGGAGCTGTGCTTGTCCTGCCTAGAAGGCCGGCACCGTGAGATCCCTGGCGTGGAAGAACCCCGTCTTCCAGAGAAGTTGCTTGTCCTTACAGTGTTGTGGGGTTTTGTTTTGGTTGGTTTTGTTTTTTTTTTTCTTTTCTTAATCTGTGTCTCATGCAGGTGGTAGTTTTTAAAGCCTGTAACGTTCCACTCTGTCTTCTTCAGTCTGAATTTGTGGTCAGCTTCTGCTTCACCTCCATGTTCTGGTTGTTCACAGATCCGTTCCCATGCTGCCCATCCTCACAGGCCTGGAGCAGAGCCCTGCCAGCAGCAAGGCTTCCAGGGGCGCAGCGCAGCGCCGTTGGCTGCCGCAAGCTCTCCTAATGCAGCAGAGGAGCTGCTGCTCCCTCTCCCTGTCCTCACCCTGCCTCTGAGCACTGTGCCACTGAGCAACCTCAGCCTGCCTCCCATCCCACATTGCTGTGAGCTCACAGCCATCACCGCTGCTGCCCTGTGCTCCTGTCGGTGCCCTGCAGCACAGCGGGGTGAGGACTGGGACGTGGCCAACCTCGGACACAGGCAGCCAGGCCCTGCAGCAGAGATGCTGATTCCTGCAGCTTGAGGCCCTTTGCCTGCTGTCAGAAGATGCTGGATGTGGGTGGGGGCACTTACCCTGCCCTTCTGGGCGCTGGGTGTTTAGCAGCTCCATGCACGTGAGTTTCAGCACAACCTGAAGGCCCGAACAGCATCTCTGCAGAAGGGGTTTTCCTCTGCATTCAGATATTAGCAGGATGCAGAACAGCAAAGTGTTCTCGTGCATGCAGAGCTGCACGGCTTGGTGGTTGGTGAAGCAGAGCCTGCGGGCTGCAGCCAGCGCTGCTCTCCGTGTTTGCTTTTAATCCAAGCTTTAGAGCAGAGCAATAGATGCTGCCTGCAGGTGGAGGCTCTTAAAGCACTTGGGGAATGGCCACAGGAAATCTCACACCCCCCCTCCTCTTGCCAGAGCGCTTGACCTGCTGCATGCCCTCCTGCTCACGTGTGACAAACAAACACCGAACGTCCTTTTCCCCGAGGTGCTCCGCAGCGCTGAGTGCTGGAGGCGGTGCCGAGGCCGAAGTAAAAGTGTCTTTCAACGTGTGTGTGCTGATGTCAGCTCTAAGGGGGGGGGGGAGGAGGGGGGCAAAAAATCCTATA